TTCGAACTAAGTTTGATCGTCTTTGACACTGAGGTTTATCCCCACTTTGCCAGCAAACTGCAGAAGATTAACAGTGAGTGAGTGAGCATCGTTTCTATGTTTATACAAGAAAAGATGTCATGCCAAAAACGCTCACAGTAGTTAGTAAGTAAACTCACGACCTGTCATGACCTGGTTGAGTGACTTCCTCAAATGAACGTGAAAGGATTACCCACAGAGAAAGAAAGGATTAAAGTCACCCATAAATCTTATCCTAACGTAGTACTCTAACTTCTAAATGCCTCTCAAAGAAGGATTAAAATCCTAAAGATATCCTGTCTACGTGGTATAGGTACTCACAACCTCTAATAATAAACTGTTACGTTTGGTATCCCCAGCAATACTCACTATGGTAATTGGGCAAATGTAAAAATCACAAACCCTAACGAGATTCTGTCTACATGGTCACACCCGGTGATTGTGAAGATCTCAAATTTTATCAACTGTCAGACAGCATGGCTGTTCATATTCATTTACAACATCCTCTTATAATTAGTATAAAAGTGTCCCACACAAAACCTTCTTTTATTTATTTTTCAAAATACAACACAGAAAGTTGGGTGTGGAGAAATGGGACATATTCCTACGTGAAATAATGAGACATTAGTGGTGGTCATAATTGAACTGTCTAAAGCATAAATTTGGCGAACGAAAAACGTTATATTTGCAATCAAATGGAATGACTCGTGTGGGCAAATGAATATGTTTGCAATCCACAAACAATTATTTTATTAATGGCGAACATTTACCAACCCGCGACAATCGTGTCAACACGGGGGTTTCTTAGCAATAAACTCGCATCTAAATTCACTACTGTTCTACTGTCGGCTAGCCACAATGGCTAGACTGGACCCTAGTGGAATGGTTCATGCCATAAAAGTCTAGCAACCGAACACTAATTAAGATGGGCCGACCTTGTATTTACGGTCTGGTGAACACAGCTCAATGGCCGCTCATTAACTCAAATTTCACATCTCACTGTTTTGTTTTATTTCACTATTCATTTGATAAATTTGTCAACTTCAACTGGAACCCGGTCCCGTGTTACACGCGTGTGCAACGGGTTGCACACGCGAATCACACCCGTTGGAATCGGGTGTGCAACGGGTGTGAATCGCGTGTGCAACCCGTTGAGCACCCGTGTCACATGCGTGTTACACGCGTTCTCAACGCGTGTTAGGGGAATGAACTTTTAGGCAGTAGTGTACCTCGAAAGTCTCAACAGGTTTGTCATCCCCCAAGAAGTCTGGTAACTGTTTATTGGTACAGCTTGTACCATGGTATTCCCTGCACACAATATGCAAGTGAGACCATATTTCCGACAAGTGCATCTTCGCGTGTTACAGTCTTTCTTTGAAATTACAGCAGATAATATCAAGGAGCGCTGAAGGTGCTGCAGTCTGATCTAACTGTGTTGATAAGCAACGTCCATCTGTCCTGTGCCATCCCCGCTCAAATGGATTCACATTGGACCCTTTCCACTCCTTTATTAGGTAGTTGACATGGGGGCTGTGGTATCTTGCGACTGCAGAGGTTGCTGGCAGAGTTTATGGCTCTGCATGTGATCAATTATTCGCCACTTTCTCCCAAAAATCGCTTGTATCATAAGCTATGCAGTCCTTCCACCTTATATCCGCCATATTAAGACATATGTTCACCTGCTTCGGTGATGACTTTTTCATCCCCAGTTTCCCTGTTTGGCTAAAATGTTTAGCCTAATGGCAGAACAAGGCATCATTCATGATTTTCTTCACTGCTAGACCCTTTCCAAAGCCACACAGTCGAGAAGTGGTGCCAAGAATTGCATGTAAAAAGAGCACATGCTCACATACATCACTGCCCAGCAGCCGCTTTGATTGATCATGCATCAAATCCTGTTCCTTCTTGAAGCTTGCTTGGGTTCTGGTGCCAGAAACGTTATGTGCTTCCTTTTCAACATGATGAGGAAGGAGGATAAGCAAATCTGTGTCTGTTTTTCTTGCAGATGTGATAGCGTCTTGTTTTGCCAGCTTATCCAGTTTGTCACCCAGATAGGCAATAAAACGCTGTTTAATTTTTTGCTTTGTTCAAGAATTCCTCCTTCTACGATCGAATGACCATTTCCCCCGTGAAATAATCTGTCTTACCAGAACAGGCACCTGTTCTTCTCATATGTGTGGTATCTTTCGTTTAAAGCCATGAAGCCATTGGCCATACAAGACAATGTTAGCAGCATATTTCTGCACAACATATAGATGGTATATACACTGTAGTTCAAATACGTGATATAACGTAGAACCTCTTGGTCGGGGTAGCCCATGAAGTATAGCACTACCATCAAGAATGTACTGGACATTTCCAGGTTCTTGTTGTTTAACTTGGAGGGTTTTCCAGATAGCATCAGCAAGGGTTGCCTTCCTGGCCTGCAGATAATTCAAACAATGCTGGCGGGTGACTACAGAGTTCTTACTTGAACAGTGCTGGTAGTTCAAGTGAGAAAAGTACTGTAGTGGAGTGACAGTTTATTTCACAGGAAATGGTCATTCGATCGAAGAAGGAAGCATTCATGAACGACGCAAAAAACAAACAGCACTTTATTGCACGTCTGGGTGACTAACTGGATAGATCTGGGTGCACTTCTGTACATACAAAACAGGCGAACATTAACTTGCACCTTTATGTGATGTGAAATCCACGAGCACGGGTATGGTGCTGACAAACCTAGAAACATAATCTGGGCGAACCGGGATTCGAACCCACAATCATAGGTTTCTGGCACGCCCAAAGGACGCAACTCTGCACAGCGAATCGCGGCGCCTCAGACGACTGGGCCACCCGTGCCCCCCTGTAAAACAAGAACAAGCACTTACCAGAAATATGGTCTCATTTAAGTGTTGTGTGCGGGGAATGCCATTGTACAAGCTGATGATGTTCATTAATCACACAATCATGTAACGGAAAGAGCAGTGGATCAGACGTCTTCAGATTTATATTCAAATATTGGTATTTGGTGGCTGCACTGGATTTCCACAAATGAACTACAGGGGAGATAACTCATCGATTCTAGTGAAACAACTGGTTTGCGGTAAATTCTGAGAGGACCTCATATAGGTCATTCTTGTTTCCAACAAGTATTTTCATGAATGAAAACGAAACTTGTTATCGCGTTTATTGTCATGTTAATAAGTAGATTCAGACAATAACAACCAACATTGATATCTAAACTCGCCAAAACATGTCATTTAAGAGATAAATATTGATATTTGGTGGTCATATTGGATTTATTCAAATGATTGAGTATTCAACATACATCCTTGGGTCTGTTTACCTCAATGTAGAAGTTCAATTCACTCAAATATGTCATCAGAGACCAACAGTGTCTTGACATTCTATGTCTAGCCATCAAACTCTTGGCGGCCATCTTGGAATGTTTAGGCCACCAAGGGGCTCTGGTGACGGAATTTCTTATCTAAAAGTGTTAACTACACTTCAGTGAGTTAGTGTGCCAAGGTATATGCATATAAGCCCTAGCACACTGTTTTAGAGATAAACGATTCAACAGTGTAAACACACATTTAGGAAACTTGGCGGCCATCTTGAAATTGGCGGCCATCTTGAATTTTTGCAGATTTGTCAATTGTCGAAAACGTTTGGTTGTTGTGAATATCTTTTTAGAAACATAAATATGGTTATTTCGCAAGACAACACATGTTTTTTTTCATCAAAGCATTAACCCTCATCTGACATATGGAAGATATATTGATAATTGGTGGCCATATTGGATTATGCAAATTAGAAATATTTCCCAAACAGGGATTGCTTGGGACTTTTAGTATGTTGTTTTCGGGACCTTGTAGAAATGCATTGTGGTAAAATAAATTCTGTTGCAATTTGTTCCAAGTGAAACCTTATTTTGCCTGGACTAACGGAAAAGTCAGAATTTTTGCGGCGTCGCGGTGATCGTTTTGCTGACAGAAACGTTGTGGAAAGAGATCCATGGGGTGGACCTAGCGTCATGAAATGGGCAGGGATTGGACTTAATGCGAGACTTGGACCAATGTGCTTTCTGAATGTTGGTCAAGGTCTGGGACACGGCGTCACTGCTCAGCGGTATATCGACCAAGTGATCAGACCCCACGTTGTTCTATTTTTCACAACATCAACAACACATTTTCCAGCAGGACAACGCTCGTCCCCATGTTGCCAGAGCTACCATGGCCTTTCTGCAACAACACAACATCCGTGTTCTACCGTGGCCAGTCCTCAGCCCTGATCTGAACCCCATCGAACACTTGTGGGATGAGGTTCAAAGGCGTCTGCACAATGTGCGCCCAGTCCCTACAACTGCCGACGAACTACGCACAGTTGCTTAGGATGTGTGCAGGAGGATCCCTAGGGCCTTCACAAATCGTCCGATCCACTCAATGTACAGGAGATGTGTGGCAGTGATCAATGCTAAAGGTAGTCACACCAGGTATTGACTGACATTTTGTGTATTGACCCGAAACTGTGTAAGCCCTTAACATTTAAAAAAACAATTATGTCATATGCCTTTTAATCCATTAAACTGTCTTCAGTCAAATTTTTGCCCTATTAGTATTTCATGTCTTTACTGTTGAAAATAAATAACATGTATACTGCATAGTCGACTTGCGTTTCTTTTGCGTGTGAGTATATGTACTTTTGCCACTGAGCTGTATTACTTAACTACCTGAATATACTTGACTCATGACTCATCAGTTGTTGGTCATGTCTTTAGAACTACCTACGCTGTACTTCTAGATTTATTGGTACTCTGCAGACAAGTACATTAGAATGTCGATTGCACTACTTGTAGTGCAGTCTGTCAGTTTTGGGCAAAGTGTAAAGACCTACATAATCCCCCCAACCTCCCCAAACACGTTAACATTGCACACAAAAGGGGTATAACTGTAAGGTCCCTGTTACCCGGCTTCACTCACTCACTCACTCACTCAGCGTACCTTGTAGTTGTCCATGACTGTGGCCAACCAGGGTTTCACTGACATCATGAAATCATTACTAAGGTGCTCCGATACCTCGGCACCATCATGGAAGGTGAGATTACCAACATGAATAGCATTTCTCGTCTCTGGGCGTGCTAGAAACAGTGGATGATAGCTGAAGTCTTTAGGATTCTGCAAATACAAAACAATGTACTGCCAATAATTATCGGTGTGTACCTGTTTGAAATGTACCTGTACTCTTTGTTCGGTTATTTTTTAGTGTCAACAGATTATTTTTGGAAGATCCGAATTGGACACCATGAAGCCACCATGTTGAACCAGGTCACAATAAAGTAATGTTGAGGCATCTGCCAGTTACACTTGTCCACTTTGATAGCTGAATCAAGAAACTTTCAAATGTACCTCATCAAATCTATGACAACTAAATAATACCATCTTACATTCTCTGCATACCTCCTCAAATATATTTGGTAAGTGCAGTAACTTGCAGTTAATCCCAATTATATAAGTTTGATTCATTCTGGCTGTTGTTATGCAATAATGATTTGCACATAGACCTATCCTCAGGTTACGTCATTTAAAAACACCACTTGATTGCAACAACATTTAATGCAACAACAACAAAATTAGAACATTAGGTTCTGCATGACTAGATTGATCAGTTATCACACATTTGTTTTGAAATTGACAAACGTGTTAGCTATTGTCTCAGTTGTCACCTGAACAAAAACGTGTCCAAATTGACCAAAGTGTGAGATCACGTGACATTTTGACCAATTGTCTCGTTTTGAATAATAGCTTTGATTTTCACCGAAGGGCGACACCTCCGAGACCGCCCTACCACAGCCACGTCTACAACCACACAGATCCCTGGGGTACGCCGAATATCAGATCAAACGGTACGCAACAGACTGAGGGAGGCTGGACTTTTTGCACGAAGACCTGTTCGACGTCATGTATTGACCCCACGTTATCTGGCGGACCGCCTGCTTTGGTGCCAACAGAGGGTTAGATGGGCACGTGCAAGGTGGAGAAATGTACTGTTTACTGACGAGTCCGTTTCCTACTCACATGTGCTGATGGGCGCGCACGTGTCTACAGACGTCGGGGTGAACGTTACGCCCCCAACTGTGTGCAGCAGGTTGTCCCATCTGGCGGCGGGAGTGTCATGGTATGGGCCGAAATTCACCACGGTGGTAGGACGCCTCTCGTGCATGTGGCAGGTGCATTGACAGGTGTGCGTTATAGAGACTTGATCCTACAGCCTTACGTTCTTCCTCACGTCAATGTTCATGGCGGACAGTTCCAGCGGGACAACGCTCGACCGCATATTGCACGTGTTTGTCAGGACTTCTTACAGCACAACAACATCCAGACATTACCTTGGCCAGCCCGGTCACCTGATTTGTCCCCGATTGAGCATCTGTGGGACGAGTTAGATCGACGCGTTCGCAGAAGGAATCCACCGCCCCAAACACTTCCGGCGCTTCTTGATGCACTTCAGCATGAATGGCAGCACAACTTGTTGTTATTGACAACTAGATTGCATCTATGGGTCGTCGGTGTCAAGCGGTGATTGATGCACGTGGTGGGCACAACCGACATTTTCTGTGCCCCTGTGACATTGACTGTATCGTGTACATGTGTCTGTCTAGGTGACACGATTAATGTTTTGAACATTGTGTACATTGATCTTCAAACAGTGTTTCAATTATGGTTTCTGTGTCCTATGTTGAAACAATCGCATTATATTACATTTTGAAAGTCATTGCAAGTTTCTTTTTTTGAAGAGTATATTTTGTATTTAGTGGTTACATAGGCCTTAGTGGGACAAGAAGGTCTCCAGACGAAAATCTCGCGCCTTTTGCGGCGACCCGAAAAGGATCTGTGGTAAGAGCAGCAAGAAGAGATGCAGGCCATCTTTGACCAGAGGTTTGCAGTCATTACGGCAGAAGTAGCTGACGTAAAGAGGAAACAGTCATCCAGGCTTGCCCAGAAGCATCTCCGGGACAAGGGGCCACGAGGGTCACAGAATTGATTTGGGATCTTGTGTCAGGACCCACAGTGTCACTGAAGTTTTCATCTTCAAGAGATCGGGACGGACACCAGACAGTGGTCGAGATAGACCTTTTTCTGTGGGTCCCCAAGAAGATATTATGCAAGTCACTAATATTCGGGATTCTGCTCGATCAGCACCGTCTCCATGTAGCAGACGAATCAGAACCTGTACCGACAAACTCATCAGGACCACTAATGCAGCATCTAGTCTTTCTTCACAATCACTGCATGGAAGCCAGGACGCTCTGCAGGATCTGATAAGCGTCTTGTTTCAGCCACAATTACCATCAGAGAGGCTAGAGTTCAGACCCAGAGCTTGCTTCAATCAAGAGAGTCGTCAAGGCTCCTTCCTGTACGATTCCGTCTTGGCTACCGTCCACCGTTGTCCTTTAAGGGGACGTGTGAGGTGGGTAAACAATTTCATTCTGGTGCTTCTATTTAGGCTGAAAGCTGAATCCCATCAAAACATGACCCAGCAACCAAACGAATTACAACTCTCATTTACAGTCTGAATACAGCCCCAGGATCAGGACAGATATGTCTGTGTTTGTCTCAGATCAAGGAGAAGAGTGTATGGATTCAGTTCAATTCGCCTTCATGTTTCAACAATTTGGACGGTCTCTTGCACGAAGGTTGATTGTGTAACAAACTGTCGAGCAGTTTTGACATCACATGTACACTGATGCCAAGCTGCTGCTAGATGTCATGCTCTGCTTCACCATTTTCTTAGCATATTGTTTGGTTGGCATGAGGCAAAAGGTCATTGTAGATCTGATTACAGAAATATTTTTGTGGCTTGATTCAGTATGACTTCATTGTATCCAATAACAGGCGGACCATTTCATATTTAGGGGAGGGGGTAGAGTAATGTATTTTCGTTCATTTATTTAGGCTGAGAATCTCTTCTTCATAACAGAGAGCTGAGATATTTATACGTCACATTTCAATTTATTTCAACCCATGGAAAGAATTTTAATTTTAATGTTTTCTCACTGTTCTCTAAATTAAACTACAGATATTATTATTTTAAAACAGGACAATGAGACTAGCAGCGTAATACGGCATTTATATGTTATAATAGACCATTTTAGCACCATGTGTTGAAAAAAAACCAGTGTGCAGGGTTTTTAAAAACTCACATTAAACAGGTCACACAACTGCTGGAGGAATGCACTTTTCAATTACTATGATTTAATATGATAAATGGCATAACTTTTGATATAAACTTGCGAACAAAAAAAACGTTACCAAACTGAAACGTCGCCATACAACGTCTTACAATGTCCAGCACAATCACTAGACTTATCACCCATATAACACTTGTGGGATCTCTTTGGCTGTCAGATTAGAGAACTACCACATGCGGAAATGAGCATCAAAAGACCAAGGTATACCATGGTAAGAAGTGCAGGTGACCAAGGTTTAGCATGGCACACTACCGTGGACATTTCAGCTGGGTCAGTCAGCACAAGGCCTACGAGACTAGTGGGGCACATCGTTGAGTGGGGCGTGCATTGATGCCCGTGGTGGGCAGACTCGACTTGGACTGATATTTGTGACATTCAGAAGGATTAAAGGGAGTTTCATGTGCTCATTTCAGTCTGAATACTGAGCAACTTACCCCACCTTCCAAACTGTGGACACAATACCTTCATATTTGTTCTCATTCATGGCAAAACTTGTTGATACAAGTATCTGCCTTGACAGTGGTACTGTTTTGTCTTTTAGGGACAAACAATGTTGGTTGGTGTGTTCGTCAGTTTAGGTTATTGCAATTAACTAGTTTCATGTTGTATTTCTTTCCAAGTAAGGGTATATGATGCATAATGGGCATTCCACATCATCTGTTTCAGTCATATCACAGCAGGACAAGTGGAGTCAATAACCTTGTCCAAGGATACAACACAGATACTTTGCATGATAGGGCCTTTTGAAATAGAAGATTAAAAATGATTATTAATAAATAAGGGTGACAGTCTCTCATGCTCAGGTCTCGATGTCAAAGAATATCGCTTTGCCCACGACATACTCTTTATTAACGAGGATGGTCATCTGTGGTCAAGTTTTTGGTGAGGCTGAGATTTTTAAGCTGAGTGTTCAAACAAAATTATGAGCCTCTCCCTAGAAACCCCTAAGTTGATCATAGGAATTGTTCTTCTTTCTCAAAATGTTAGTGTTTCCAATGGTTTTGGCATTAACAATCTGTCACAGGGAAAAATGTGAATCACTTACGTTTGTAATAAGATAATTGTAAAATTGATGAAGTCCAGTTTCTTCTCCAATAACCCCAAGCATTGTGCCAAATATCTTCAAGAAAAATAAACGTAAAGTAAGAATAATACATACCTTTTCCTTTAAGCAAATGTCGTACTGTGCATTCATTGTCATTCTGTTGTTCAATATTTGAAAATCAAAGATGATCATGAAATCCATCTGTGTGCATTATATACTGAACCGCAAAAGAAATAGATAGATATAGATGGATAGAATTATGAGAAACCTTATTTGTCCAAACACTGTAAACATACTTTGAGACATATTAAAAAGATGAAACCTGGCAAAACTGATCATCAAGGTTGAAATTAAAGTGTCAAATGTTCTTAAAGTGAAACACAACACTAGTCTCTGAGAAAATGGCATCACAAGTCAGTATCTCGTGTGTCCGCCATGTGCATTGATGACTGCCGTGCAACGTCGATACATGGAATGGATAAGGCGGTTGATGAATGCCATAGGCACTTGAGCCCACACTCTGAGGAACGGCTGACGCAGTTGCTCTGCAGTTGTCGGCCTTGGTCGGACGTCATTCAGCGTCTTTGAATCTCGCCCCACAGGTGCTCAATGGGATTTAAATCCAAATCTCATTAAAATCAGATCTTAGTTCTCGCTATCGCTAAACAAAGAGTCACGGGTCACGTCAGAACGACCTTTCATCCAATCTTACCAGATCATGAAAGTGACAGTCGGAATGAGTTTTCTAAACATGCAACCTCGAAAACGTTAAAACGGGGTATTCCAAACGACAGTTACGGCCCGTACGACTGATTTCGTCAAAATTATCGTCTGTCTCTCGCTGCCGTAGGATAAACATTTGAACGGAGGAGGCGTTGCACAGTACGTGGGAAGAACTGCAATACAATCGTAAGCATATATTAGACATTCCGGATTGTTCTTTTGTTCAGTTTTCAAAATTTTAATCGAGAACTGTGTCAACATATTTTTCAAGCGTAGTCTGAAATGGAAGTCGCCAGGTTGAAACGGGTGCCGTAAAGCTCGAGGAAGCTTCTTTCTAATTGGCTGATGTCGACTTCTTGTTCTTCGTTTCAGTGGTCGGTCAAAGTTCGCGAAAGGTCGTTCTGACGTGACCCGTAATGGGATGTCCTCAGATCTTTGTTTAGCGGCAGCGAGAACTTAGATCTGATTTTAGTGAGATTGGATTTAAATCGGGACTGAGGGCAGGCATCTGCATGTTTCTGATGCCATTCTGATGGAGGAAGTCTCTTGTTGCTCTCACAGTGTTGGCACGGGCATTATCATGCTGAAACTCGTGGTTGCGGCGACGTGCCAAATGAGGTATGGCGTGTGGTCTCAAGACTTGATCAATGTACCGAGCTGTTGTGACACCATTGCCTCTCTCTGGACCGATGTTCTGGAAGACCACAGGGCCCACCCTCTGTGCAAGACCAATTCCACCCCACACCATAATGCTCGGACCACCCCACGAGTCTCTCTCAACAACAAAAGCATCCGAATAACGAAACCCACGGCGTCGCCAGGCTCTCCCTCTCTCTGCCATCTACTGTTGAGATACAGTAACGGCTCTCGTCTGAGGAGAGGACTCTTCTCCACTGCTGGTGGCGCCAATGCTGGTGCTGTGTTGCCCACTGAAGACGGTCCCGGCGATGACGTGGTGTCAGAATGAGTCCTCGGTGTGGCCTGTGACAGTGGCGGTGTCTGCTCGTCAATCGTCGACACACGGTGTCCGCACTAAAGTGTCGCTGGTGTGTCCCCATGGTATGTTGAGCAGTTTCCGCAGCAGTAACAAAGCGATCTTGAAGATGCTGTCGCACAATCTGACGATCCTGACGTCTGGTGGTGACCCTTGGTCTTCCACTACGTGGTCGGTCATCTGTAATGTTGGTGGTCTGGAACCGTTACTGGAGCCTGTATATGGTCCTTGCGTGGACTTAAAATGCAATGGATTCTTGCCAGGCGGTTTGTCCAGCTTGCAATCGTCCAAGGGATTGGTGTCACTGATTTCTTGTCAATCTTGGCATATGGTAGCAATTCAATAACGAATGTATGTTATCCGATCTGGGTGGATTTTTATAGGGCAAGAAATGGGGGAACGCATGTGCATTTTAATTTGCACGGAACACACGTGCATCGGGCTACCATGGCCGTTGCCGTGATGCCTTTTGGCCATCGGTTATATTGGCTTTGTTTTTTATCATCAAATTTCATTTTGTACGGACAATGTAATGTTTAATTTGGGAAACTTTGACAAAAATTACCCAGATATTTAAATGACAACTTTTCATGCAATGTTACTTGGGGTGACGTTTCTTTTGCGGTTCAGTCTAGTTTGTGTTGCCCTGTAACAAACATGTTCACGAAACAAGAGGATATACATGTGTTTCTCTATGTGACACATGCGTGTACATCCGTCTACATTAACTCACGTGCATCGGATTACCATCGCCGTTGCCGTGATGCGTTTTGGCGATCGGTTTTATTGTCATCTGCTTTGTAGTTTTATCATCAAATTTCATTTTTCCGGACAAGGTAGTGTTAAATTTTAGAAACTTTGACAAAAATTTCCCAGATATTTAGATGACAACTTTTCATGCAATGTTACTTGGAGTGTCGTTTCTTCTGTGGTTCGGTTTATTTTGACACATTCCCCGACTATACCTTGTAAGCTTCTTGATACCTGCCCTCCCTAACGTAGGCGGCCATTTCCTTTCCCCTTGCGGTGACGTCATCTCGCTGGTTTTCGTCCAGCAGTCCGAGATAAAAGAGATACTCGCCATACACAGGCATCATCTAGGAAAATACAGTAAAACGGAGAATGTTCTGTATCGGAGGGTATAGACAATTGTGGATTCGACACGCTTTGTTCCTGTTGTATAACTGGTCATCATGGCGTTAACAGGTTCTACTGTTGGTACTGTGAGATACCAAAGCACTTTTGAGCAGCAGATAATGTTTGTTTGTTGTTTAACGCCACACTCGGCAATATTCCAGCTATATCACGGCGGTCTGTAAACAGTCGAATCAGACCAGATAATCCAGTGATTGACATCATAAACATCGATCTACGCAACTGGGATACGATGACATGCATCAACAGTCAGTGAGCCTGACCACCCGATCCCGTTTGTCGCCTTTTACGACAAGCACGGTTTGCTGAAGACCAATTCTAACCCGGAATCTTCACGGGGCAGCATATAAGGAGAGACGCAGACGAAGAGGTACCATACCTGTTTGGTTCCTTTAATGAGAACTGAATTAACGATTTAACCAAGCACGATTCTAAGACACCCCAACTATGTCGCCTTACAGACGACAATACGTACATGAATTGAAACGTTTATGATGCACACTCAACACTTACCAATTTTGAAAGGTAAAGAATCTGATTCGCGTTAATATGCAAAAACGTTGGCCGTGCGCTAGCATGACAGAAGAAGGTGACCTAAAAGACGGTGGATCCCGAGATAAAAGTGCTGTGGAGTGCCGATAAACTAGCATGGAATGTACGATCTACCCAACAGGGGACACAGGTGCTTCCGTCGTCCAAGGCCGGCCAGAAACTTATGATCGTGGGCTCGATACCCCAATTCGACCTGATTATGTTTCATGGTTTGCCACCAACATCCCTAGTTTCAATGGGTTTCCCCAAAGTGGTAAATGTCGAATCACTTCATAGGTTCCTCCCACATCCAGCTGGCACGCACTGATATAACTGAAATACTGTCCACACTCACTCACTCTACACAAAGCGTGACATGGATACATGTTTGCCTCAGCCCCGTAATCCGCCGCGCACTGATCATCTCGGATATATCTCCTCACTTTATTCGATCAAGAGACATGCTATATCGTCAACTAACCAAGAAACCTCTTCACTTTATTCGATCAAGAGACATGCTATATCATCAACTAACAAAGAAACCTCTTCACTTTATTCGATCAAGAGACATGCCATATCGTCAACTAACCAAGAAACCTCCTCATTTTATTCGATCAAGAGACATGCTATATCGTCAACTAACCAAGAAACCTCTTCAATTTATTCGATCAAGAGACATGCTATATCATCAACTAACCAAGAACGCTCTTCACTTTTTTTAATCAAGAGAATGCTATATCGTCAACTAATCAAGAATGCTCTTCACTTTATTCGATCAGGAGACATGCTATATCGTCAACTAACCAAGAACGCTCTTCACTTTTTTATCAAGAGAATGCTATATCGTCAACTAACCAAGAAAGCTCTTTACTTTTTTTATCAAGTGAATGCTATATCGTCAACTAATCAAGAATGCTCTTCACTTTATTTGATCAGGAGACATGCTATATCGTCAACTAACCAAGAACGCTCTTCACTTTTTTATCAAGAGAACGCTATATCGTCAACTAACCAAGAAGCCTCTTCACTTTATTCGATCAAAAGACATGGTATATCGTCAACTAACCAAGAACGCTCTTCACTTTATTCGATCAGGAGAAATGCTATATCGTCAACTAACCAAGAACGCTCTTCACTTTTTTATCAAGAGAATGCTATATCGTCAACTAACCAAGACACCTCTTCACTTTATTGGATCAGGAGACATGCTATATCGTCAGCTGGCCAAGAACGCTCTTCACTTTTTTTATCAAGAGAATGCTATATCGTCAAATAACCAAGAAACCTCTTCAATTTATTCGATCAAGAGACATGCCATATCGTCAACTAATCAAGAACGCTCTTCACTTTATTCGATCAGGAAAAATGCTATATTGTGAACTATTCAAGAACCCTCTTCACTTTTTTATCAAGAGAATGCTATATTGTCAACCAGCCAAGAACGCTCTTCACTTTATTCGATCAAGAGAATGCTATATCGTCAACTAACCAAGAACGCTCTTCACTTTATTCGATCAGGAGACATGCTATATCGTCAACTAACCAAGAACGATCTTCACTTTTTCATGAAGAGAATGCTATATCGTCAACTAACCAAGAACGCTCTTCACTTTATTCGATCAAAAGACATGGTATATCATCAACTAACCATGAAACCTCTTCGCTTTATTCGATCAAGAGACATGCTATGTCATCAACTAACCAAGGACGCTCTTCACTTTTTTATTAAGAGAATGCTATGTCGTCAACTAACCAAGAACTCTCTTCACTTTATTCGATCAAGAGACATGCTATATCGTCAACTAACCAAGAACGATCTTCACTTTTTCATGAAGAGAATGCTATATCGTCAACTAACCAAGAACGCTCTTCACTTTATTCGATCAAAAGACATGGTATATCATCAACTAACCATGAAACCTCTTCGCTTTATTCGATCAAGAGACATGCTATGTCATCAACTAACCAAGGACGCTCTTCACTTTTTTATTAAGAGAATGCTATGTCGTCAACTAACCAAGAACTCTCTTCACTTTATTCGATCAAGAGACATGCTATATCATCAACTAACCAAGAAACCTCTTCACTTTTTTTATCAAGAGAATGCTATATTGTCAACTGACCAAGAACTCTCTTTACTTTATTCGATCAGGAGACATGCTATATCGTCAACTAACCAAGAACGCTCTTCACTTTATTTTATCAAGAGAATGCTATATCAACAACTAACCAAGAAGCCTCTTCACTTTATTCGATCAAAAGACTTGCTATATCGTCAACTAACCAAGGACGCTCTTCACTTTTTTATCAAGAGAATGCTATATCGTCAACTACCCATGAACGCTCTTCACTTTTTTTATCAAGAGAATGCTATATCGTCAACTAATCAAGAATGCTCTTCACTTTATTCGATCGGGGACATGCTATATCGTCAACTAACCAAGAACGATCTTCACATTTTTTATCAAGAGAATGCTATATTGTCAACTGACCAAGAACTCTCTTCACTTTTTTATCAAGAGAATGCTATATCGTCAACTAACCAAGACTACTCTTCACTTTATTCGATCAGGAGTCATGCTATATCATCAACTAACCAAGAACGCTCTTCACTTTTTTTATCAAGAGAATGCTATATCGTCAACTTACAAAGAAACCTCTTCACTTTATTGGATCAGGAGACACGCTATATCGTCAACTGTCCAAGAACGCTCTTCCCTTTTTTTTATCAAGAGAATGCTATATCGTCATATAACAAAGAAACCTCTTCAATTTATTCGATCAAGAGACATGCCATATCGTCAACTAACCAAGAATGCTCTTCACTTTATTCGATCAAAAGACATGGTATATCATCAACTAACCAAGAAACCTCTTCACTTTATTCGATCAAGAGACATGCTATATCGTCAACTAACCAAGGACGCTCTTCACTTTTTTATCAAGAGAATGCTAGATCGTCAACTATCCATGAACGCTCTTCACTTTTTTTATCAAGAGAATGCTATATCGTCAACTAATCAAGAATGCTCTTCACTTTATTCGATCGGGGACATGCTATATCGTCAACTAACCAAGAACGCTCTTCACATTTTTTATCAAGAGAATGCTATATTGTCAACTGACCAAGAACTCTCTTCACTTTTTTATCAAGAGAATGCTATATCGTCAACTAACCAAGACTACTCTTCACTTTATTCGATCAGGAGTCATGCTATATCATCAACTAACCAAGAACGCTCTTCACTTTTTTTATCAAGAGAATGCTATATCGTCAACTTACAAAGAAACCTCTTCACTTTATTGGATCAGGAGACACGCTATATCGTCAACTGTCCAAGAACGCTCTTCCCTTTTTTTTATCAAGAGAATGCTATATCGTCATATAACAAAGAAACCTCTTCAATTTATTCGATCAAGAGACATGCCATATCGTCAACTAACCAAGAATGCTCTTCACTTTATTCGATCAAAAGACATGGTATATCATCAACTAACCAAGAAACCTCTTCACTTTATTCGATCAAGAGACATGCTATATCGTCAACTAACCAAGGACGCTCTTCACTTTTTATCAAGAGAATGCTATATCGTCAACTAACCAAGAAGCCTCTTCACTTTATTGGATCAAAAGACATGCTACGCCGTCAACTAACCAAAAACATCCTCACTTTATTCGACCAAGAGACATGTTATACAAAACAAGTTAAAAAAAATTATAACATCGTAATTTCAGTGTTGCAATGAATGTGACACATGATTATGTGCCAGTTGTGATCTTCAAAGAAACATATATGCCAACACGTACATGTGTGCCCGTATATAACCATGATTTTGCATTTTGCAAGAGTTCACAGATATAACGAACATTCCAACGTATACACTATTCTATCGAGTGAGTATGTCACCTGTATTTGTTATTTCTAGTCAGTTATCGAGGCTTGCCTCTTCAAACCGAGTGTCTTGTCCATAAGTAATTTGTTCTTAGTAAATGTTGTTTTTTTCCAGAATCTTCATGTTCCGATTCTCGCTACTCACTGTCTCTGGATCACTGAGGCCATCTCCGATAGCCATCCCCTTGAAGTTGATCTTCACTTTAGCTGTTGGGTTCTCCACGTGGATCTTGTAGGAGATGGCGGGGACGTACTTTCCTGCATACGACTGGGGAACAGAGGACACAGATACAGTGATATTTTAGATGGCGGGGACGTACCTTTCTGCATACGACTGGGGAACAGAGGACAGAGATCCAGTGATGTTGGAGAAGGCGGGGACGTTCTTCCCTGCATACGACTGGGGAACATTGGACAGAGATACAGTGAAGTTAAAGGAGGCGGGGACGTACTACCTTGCGTACGACTGGGGAACAATGGACAGAGATACAGTGATGTCGGAGATGGCGGGGACGTACTACCCTGCGTACGACTGGGGAACAGTGGACAGAGATACAGTGATGTCGGAGATGGCGGGGACGTACTACCCTGCATACGACTGGGGAACAGTGGACAGAGATACAGTGATGTCGGAGATGGCGGGGACGTACTACCCTGCGTACGACTGGGAAACAGAGGACAGAGATACAGTGATGTAGGAGATGGCGGGAACAGAGGACAGCGATACAGTGATGTAGGAGATGGCGGGAACAGAGGACAGAGATACAGTGATGTAGGAGATGTCGGGAACAGAGGACAGAGATACAGTGATGTAGGAGATGTCGGGAACAGAGGACAGAGATACAGTGATGTAGGAGATGGCGGGAACAGAGGACAGAGATACAGTGATGTAGGAGATATCGGGAACAGAGGACAGAGATACAGTGATGTAGGAGATGGCAGGGACAGAGATACAGTGATGTAGGAGATGGCGGGGACAGAGGACAGAGATACAGTGATATAGGTGATGGCGGGGACAGAGGACAGAGATACAGTGATGTAGGTGATGGCGGGGACAGAGATACAGTGATGTCGGAGATGGCAGGGATATAGTTCCCTTTATACGACTGGAATTACAGTTCACAGATATTGGTTGTACTAGAAATCCAAGGAACTGCCTATAACTGTATATTATTTACCCATATTCTTTGGAGATAAATGATTATTTGAATACTTTTGGAAATATTATTCTTCATCCACATCGCTAAGACGCTTCCAGAGAAATGTGACGACCCAATCATGTGTCCCATGTTTCCACAAATATGTTGTTGTTAAATGGTTGATGATGACTGATATAAGTATCGAGTGCAATGGTGGCACACCAAACATGTATCTATATAAAGCATTAATAATTCAGCCAATAAACACCATGGTGTGAACATCGTCCCCAAATATACTGACAGTTGGCCACCACACTACAGGAAGAGACCTCAAAACATCGAAATAGTGTACAGTCCCACCATGATTTGTTTTTGTGTCCGGGTTTGTTTTTTTTGTTTAACGCTGCACTCAGCAGTATTCCAGCTATTTGACGGCGGTTTGTAAATAACCAAGTCTGGGCCAGACAATCCAGGCAATGGCATCATGAGCATCGATCTACGCAATTGGGATTCGATGACATGCATCAACCACGTCGGCGAGCATGACCACCCGATCCCAATAGTCGCCTCTTAAGACAAGCATGGATTGCTGAAGACCTATTCTAACCCTGATCTCGGGACAGTAACCAACATGAAGCGAAGTTTACCTCTCCGGTGATGTAGAAGTCATTGCTTTGATATGATGTAAATATCTGAAAGAACTGCGTCAGACAACTGTAAACAAATAGACGTGCTGATCACAACGAAAATGATTAACTATACAATGTTCAATGTTACGCTGAAAACAGTTTAATTGGTGAATTATCTTATGTTGACGTTGAAAAGATATCAGAGACCAATGTGTATATTTACTCGTATGAGAATTCGGTGAAAAAATAAAAAGTTGAAATAAGGGATAAAAGGTTTCAATAATAGTAAAATGTTACGAATAAAGAATGAATGTTACAAATAACGTCAAATATGGAATTTAAAATACCAAACGAGACCAATGAACAGCTCGCAAACAAAAGACGTCATATGTAAAGAAAGAACAAAGTGTACTGAAGAACGTCAGTGCACAAAAAGACACAAAAAAGGACAACGTTGACAATAAAGAACGCCAGGTGGCGTGCAATTTGTAAAACATTCCGAGTTTAGTCGGCTTGTTCCGCCGTGTATATGATAAATGCATGCCTAAGTGCTCAATCTATTACCTCATTCCTCGTGCACTCAGCGTGTGACGTCAAACACGAAAGTGTTATATGATGCCGAGTTATTTTTTGACGCACATTTTCCTAAGAGTTGAAAACAGAACGTTGTGCAAGAATACTGCGGCACTTGGCCAAACTCAGACTATCATGATTATACTATTACTGAGAGATGTAAAATGTTACACTTCCTGTCTGATGTAGGTAAATGTAACTTCAAATATTAACCCGATTTAAAAAAGAGACTGCTTAGTATTGTCAGAGAGTTTGTTATGCGTAAAAAACAGCAAATTTCGACACACCGATAAAAGTACTGTGCAAAAACGTATCCCTTTGTCTTTTTCAAATACCTGACGACATAAATATATGTCACGCGTTACATGCGTGTTTATTGAAGGAAGTGGAGTAAATATACGTACACGTAGACAGATGTCGGATAACACACAGTATACTATCGGTGACGATGACTGAACGTTCGATACATAAACGCAACACGCACGCACGCACCCACACACACACACACACACACACACACACACACACACACACACACACACACACACACATGTATATGATGTCACAAGCCGAGGGCTACGAGGACTGACGTAATACCGTGAGCACTTCGCCATGCATTTATCATGTACACAGCGGAACAAGCCGATTAAACTCGGGATTCAATCCCATTGTGCCTACATCCGAATTTGCCTACAGAGATTAATGAAGGCACATTGGGAACTCAGTTTCATCCCTATTTATTTAAATGGACAGAACCACTATTGTTTGACTATTTTTTAAATATCTGTTGCCAAATCAAGTCAGGCTTGTACTGTTGCAGATGCCTGTATAAAATTAGTAACTAAAAAAACTGAGTAGAGGAATGAAATACTTATTACTGCATAAATAACAACAAAATAACATAGAACCAATCACATCAATTACTAGTAACTATTCTTAACTATATATCACCAAGCCCTTCCCCTGCTGCCACCGTCAAGTTCAAGGCGCCAGGACGGCGGTGATGGAGGAAGGCCATGACTCCGAGAAGACCAGATCTATCAACGACTACTTGACGTCAACCTTGGTTGACTATGACTATGCATGTGGAGTCAATATTGACATATATTGGACCCGACACAAACAACCACCTCGAGGGGTGGCATGATCCACTGAAAAACAGGATCTCAATGACCCATCCCAACATCTTCCTGTTTGTAACTCACACAAAGAACCTGTAAGCAGTGAACAGGGCACAGCATGCCCAACTGGATCTCGGAGCCCTTCCCCAAATCCGAAAACGTGTCTTGGGAACTGGACAACAGGTTGATGAGACTGAAGGGCCATCTCGACTCGGAAAGAAAGATGCAGTTCCTAGATGTCACTGGTCACCGTATCAAATTAGGACAATAACCTTCTATGATTTGCCTGCGGTTAATTGATTGATTGTAACAGTTTTGCCAAAACTATTGTTATATTATTCTTCTGTGTTATATCATAAATATTATATATCCGTGACTTTCGTTAGGTGCTATGGTTTTATTTCATTTCACAAGTGTTTCATTGTGCCTACATTGTTTCGTTGTCTCAGTATGGACAAGTTTATCTCATATCACACGTGAAACAGGTAACAGTCATGTTCTCTCGTGCATCACTTTCTGAGCATGAGACCGTATCACTTCATGATTTTACTGTAGACACAGTTGGATTGTAGGCACATTGGGAAGACAACAAACTCGAAATGTTTCACAATTTGCAGCGCCATCTGGCGTTCTTTAATGTCAATGTTGTCCTCTAGCAGTTTAGTGTCCTTTTTGTTCACTGACGTTCTTCAGTACACTTTGTTCTTTCTTTACATATATATGACGTCTTTTGTTTACGAGTTGTTCATTGGTCTCGTTTTGTATTTTGAATTCATTATTTGTATGTAAACAATGACCTTTATGTGTAACATTCATTCTTTATTCGTATCATTTGACTATTATTGGGTACTTGGGTACGCGAGTACTTTGAATAATTTGACCAAATGGCCGCCTATATATGGGCGCCTATTCGGTAAAAGTACAATAAATGAAATAAAGGTCATCAGTGCGCAATAACACATACGAATAAGATAAAATGTTACTACTAAAAGTTAGTATTTTCATATGAATACTGAAACTCGTATCTTTCTTTAACAAACTTATCTTGGGATGGCTTTTTTCATCTGAAGCAAGTGAAAATATTCTCCAGCAAAAGAAATATGTGGAAACATTTAAAATATTACTGGTGACCTGTATTTCAATTGATGTATCATTTTACTGAACGAAGTCTTCTGAATCCCCGATATCACAAATAAATCAAAGCGGAAAGAAACAACGGTTTCCAATATAAACTCACGGTCCCGATTCGATCACGGCTGTATCTTTGTCACCTGCGAGTCTATCAATATCTTATTAATTTCGAAGAGTAGCAGATCTGAAATCAAGGCTTGAAAACACCACGTGTCATACCTATACAGATCCCTGGCGACATCTTCTTCGTTGTTAGCGTAGCCGGAATCATTGCCCGTGAAGCTGAAACCAGTCCCTACCTGCAACAGCATCCCCACCAGAGTGAGGGGGTAGGGCTCCGCGTTTAGTAATTTTGGAGGTTGTTGTTGGATCAGACAATCCAGTGATTGACATCGTGAGCATCGATCCACGCATATGGAGTACGATGACATGCATCAACCAAGTCAGCGAGCTTGACCACCCGATCCCGTTAGTCGCCTCTAACGACAAACCTAGTCGCCGTTTACGGCAAGCATGGGTTGCTGAAGGCCTAGACACCAACAATGGGATTCACTACATTGTGTGGGGAATCGAGTGTGGGTTTTCGGCTTGGCGATTGAACGCCCTCATCATCATCCCTCATCAGGGTGGATTGAGTTTATTATGAAAACAACATCTTTTCATGATAGTGAACTGTAGGTACCATCCTTACTGGCAGGATTCCATACATATGTATCTGTTACATATAATATAAGGAGGCGCACCAGTTGGTGAATGTTGTTTTACGCCGCACTTATCAGTATTACCGCTTTACTACATCGGCCTGTGAATAGTCGATTCTGGTCTGGGCTTCACGAAAGTATTCTATGGTGCTAACAGTCCAACTCACAGGGTTGTCAATATACAGCATGGAGTAGCGAGAGTTCCAGGTGATGTTGCGCCTCACCACTGTAAACAATATTGAGTAAAGAGTTAGTTCACTACAAAAGGGACCCAAAACGCATCATGCTGTATCCTACAAAATGTACCCCCACACAGTGTGTCAATACCTGACGTACAGGGACTCGCCATGTCTGAGCAGTAGTTATCACTTTCACTATTTTGTTTTCGTACATGATTCATCGTTTTGCGGTTGTGGCAGGTATATCGGATCACTGCGGTGTTTACATTAATCACCAATGCTTCGATGAATAGACGACTGTAACACGTACATACTGCCTTCAATATACATGTACAAGGAAAACGATAATTAAAGAATTCCCACTTTTCATCTTCATTCATAATTCATAACCATTTGAACCAGTGCGTCAAGGAGTCTTACGTGGCCTTGTTTTTCAGTAGTAGTGTCTAAATCGTCGTTTCCTCTATCGTGTGTCGTATGAATGTGAGAGAAGCATGGTTGTAAAATCCTTCCACAGAGGACCAGGAGAAACTTACAGTTGCCATGCTCATCCACAGAGAAGGGTCCATGTTCCACAAACAGACCATAGAGGGAGGATCCGCCGGGTCCACCCTGCAGCCACACGAGCACTGGAGCAGTCTTGGGGTTCACCTGTCATAAAGAATCAAAAACAATATATCTGTAACAGAAACAAATGATGCAACAACAAACCTATGACATAGGGCAGATCGTGTGTTGGCACATATGAGTTTATTTTAATTATATTCATAATTGAGCTGTGCAGATCATCAGTGTGACATGACATACCTCATCTGTGCAGATCCTCAGTGTGACATGACAGGACATACCTCCCTGTTCAGATTTTGTGTGTATCATGGTATGATGTCCATAACCTGCTTTGAAGACCCTAGTGTATGACGTGACATGACATGACATGACTGAGCCGTGAAGAACCTGTGTGTGACTAGACATAACATAGCATTCCTGTTTGTGACATGACGTGCCTGTGTGTGACATGACAAGACATGACGTGCCTGTTTGTGACATGACATGCCTGTGTGTGACAGGACCTGACATGTCTGTGTGTGACATGACATGACATGACGTTCCTGTGTGTGACATACCTGTTCTGTGAACATCCTGTGTGTGACATGACATGACATGATCTCCCTTTGTGTGACAGAACATGACATGATGTGACTGTGTGTTACGTGAAATGACGTGACTGTATGTGACAGAACATGACATACCTGTGCCGGGAAGAACCAGAAAAACATGTTGCTGTTGGTAGTCTTGTTGACAGTTAGGAAGCCGGAGTGCCCCGGTTGGGGAATGTAAGACCCCGTTTCACTCACCAGCCGGGCTATGAAGACAAGGAGTCATTTATTGACATCTCATAGAATATTACAGGTTTGGGCCAATGGAAGTTTCTACTGGTTACCATGTTCGTCTGTATAGTGTTATAGGACTGAGACAAACTATGGAAGTATCTACTGGTTACTATGTTTGCCTATATAGTGTTACAGGACTGACATAAACTTTGGAAGTTTCTACTCATTACCATGTTCGTTTGTATAGTGTTACAGGATTGAGACAAACTATGGAAGTTTTTACTGATTACGATGTTCGTCTGTATAGTGTTACAGGACTGAGACAAATTATGGAAGTTTCTACTGATTACTATGTTTGTGTATGTAGTGTTACAGAACTGAGATAAACTATGGAAGTTTCTACTGATTACCATGTTTGTCTGTATATTGTTACATGACTGACACAAACTATGGAAGTTTCTACTGGTTACTATGTTTGTCTGTAGAGTGTTACAGAACTGAGATAAACTATGGAAATTTCTACTGATTACTATGTTTGTCTGTATAGTGTTACAGAACTGAGATAAACTATGGAAGTTTCTACTGGTTACCATGTTTATCTGTATAGTGTTACAGAACTGAGACAAATTATGGAAGTTTCTTCTGATTACGATGTTCGTCTGTATAGTGTTACAGGACTGACACAAACTATGGAAGTTTCTACTGATTACTATGTTTGTCTGTATAGTGTTACAGGACTGAGACAAATTATGGAAGTTTCTACTGATTACCATGTTTGTCTGTATAGTGTTACAGGACTGAGACAAATTATGGAAGTTTCTACTGATTACCATGTTTGTCTGTATAGTGTTACAGGACCGAGACAAATTATGGAAGTTTCTTCTGATTACGATGTTCGTCTGTATAGTGTAACAGGACTGACACAAACAATGGAAGTTTCTACTGATTACCATGTTTGTCTGTATAGTGTTACAGGACTGAGACAAATTATGGAAGTTTCTACTGATTACCATGTTTGTCTGTATAGTGTTACAGGACTGAGACAAATTATGGAAGTTTCTACTGATTACCATGTTTGTCTGTATAGTGTTACAGGACCGAGACAAATTATGGAAGTTTCTTCTGATTACGATGTTCGTCTGTATAGTGTTACAGAACTGAAACAAACCATGGAAGTTTCTACTGATTACTATGTTTGTCTGTATAGTGTTACAGGACTGACACAAACAATGGAAGTTTCTACTGATTACTATGTTTGTCTATATAGTGTTACAGAACTGAAACAAACTATGGAAGTTTCTACTGGTTACCATGTTTATCTGTATAGTGTTACAGAACTGAGATAAACTATGGAAGTTTCTACTGATTACTATGTTTGTCTGTATAGTGTTACAGGACTGAGACAAACTATGGAAGTTCCTACTGATTACCATGTTCGTCTGTATAGTGTAACAGAACTGAAACAAACTATGGAAGTTTCTACTGGTTACTATGTTTGTCTGTATAGTGTTACAGGACTGAGACAAATTATGGAAGTTTCTACTGATTACTATGTTTGTGTATATAGTGTTACAGGACTGACACAAACTATGGAAGTTTCTACTGATTACTATGTTTGTCTGTATAGTGTTACAGGACTGACACAAACTATGGAAGTTTCTACTGGTTACTATGTTTGTGTTTATAGTGTTACAGGACTGCGACAAACTATGGAAGTTTCTACTGATTATCATGTTCGTCTGTATAGTGTTACAGGACTGAGACAAACTATGGAAGTTTCTACTGGTTACTATGTTTGTGTATATAGTGTTACAGGACTGCGACAAACTATGGAAGTTTCTACTGATTATCATGTTCGTCTGTATAGTGTTACAGGACTGAGACAAACTATGGAAGTTTCTACTGGTTACTATGTTTGTCTATATAGTGTTACAGGACTGACACAAACTATGGAAGTTTCTACTGGTTACTTTGTCAAGTGTTACAGGACTGAGACAAACTATGGAAGTTTCTACTGATTACTTTGTAAAGTGTTACAGAACTGACACAAACTATGGAAGTTTCTACTGATTACCATGTTTGTCTATATAGTGTTACAGGACTGACACAAACTATGGAAGTTTCTACTGGTTACTTTGTCAAATGTTACAGGACTGACACAAACTATGGAAGTTTCTACTGATAACCATGTTCGTCTGTATATTGTTACAGGACTGACACAAACTATGGAAGTTTCTACTAGTTACTATGTTCGTCTGTATAGTGTTACAGAACTGAAACAAACTATGGAAGTTTCTACTGATTACTATGTTTGTGTATATAGTGTTACAGGACTGCGACAAACTATTGAAGTTTCTACTGGTTACTATGTTTGTGTATATAGTGTTACAGGACTGCGACAAACTATGGAAGTTTCTACTGATTACGATGTTTGTATAGTGTTACAGGACTGACACAAACTATGGAAGTTTCTACTGGTTACTTTGTCAAATGTTACAGGACTGACACAAACTATGGAAGTTTCTACTGATAACCATGTTCGTCTGTATATTGTTACAGGACTGACACAAACTATGGAAGTTTCTACTAGTTACTATTTTTGTCTGTATAGTGTTACAGAACTGAGACAAACTATGGAAGTTTCTACTAGTTACTATGTTCGTCTGTATAGTGTTACATGACTGAGACAAACTATGGAAGTTTCTACTGATTACCATGTTCGTCTGTATAGTGTAACAGAACTGAAACAAACTATGGAAGTTTCTACTGATTACTATGTTTGTCTATATAGTGTTACAGAACTGAAACAAACTATGGAAGTTTCTACTGGTTACTTTGTTTGTCTATATAGTGTTACAGGACTGACACAAACTATGGAAGTTTCTACTGGTTACTTTGTCAAATGTTACAGGACTGACACAAACTATGGAAGTTTCTACTGATAACCATGTTCGTCTGTATATTGTTACAGGACTGACACAAACTATGGAAGTTTCTACTAGTTACTATTTTTGTCTGTATAGTGTTACAGAACTGAGACAAACTATGGAAGTTTCTACTAGTTACTATGTTCGTCTGTATAGTGTTACATGACTGAGACAAACTATGGAAGTTTCTACTGATTACCATGTTCGTCTGTATAGTGTAACAGAACTGAAACAAACTATGGAAGTTTCTACTGATTACTATGTTTGTCTATATAGTGTTACAGAACTGAAACAAACTATGGAAGTTTCTACTGGTTACTTTGTTTGTCTATATAGTGTTACAGGACTGACACAAACTATGGAAGTTCCTACTGGTTACTTTGTCAAGTGTTACAGGACTGAGACAAACTATGGAAGTTTCTACTCATTACTTTGTCAAGTGTTACAGGACTGAGACAAGCTATGGAAGTTTCTACTCATTACTTTGTCAAGTGTTACAGAACTGACACAAACTATGGAAGTTTCTACTGATTACTATGTTTGTCTATATAGTGTTACAGGACTGACACAAACTATGGAAGTTTCTACTGGTTACTTTGTCAAGTGTTACAGGACTGAGACAAACTATGGAAGTTTCTACTGATTACTTTGTAAAGTGTTACAGAACTGACACAAACTATGGAAGTTTCTACTGATTACCATGTTTGTCTATATAGTGTTACAGGACTGACACAAACTATGGAAGTTTCTACTGGTTACTTTGTCAAGTGTTACAGGACTGAGACAAACTATGGAAGTTTCTACTGGTTACTTTGTCAAGCGTTACAGGACTGAGACCAACTTTGGAAGTTTCTACTGATTACTTTGTAAAGTGTTACAGAACTGACACAAACTATGGAAGTTTCTACTGATTACTATGTTTGTCTATATAGTGTTACAGGACTGACACAAACTAAGGAAGTTTCTACTTGTTACTTTGTTAAGTGTTACAGAACTGACACAAACTATGGAAGTTTCTACTCATTACCATGTTCGTCTGTATAGTGTTACAGGACTGACACAAACTATGGAAGTTTCTACTGGTTACTATTTTTGTCTGTATAGTGTTACAGAACTGAGACAAACTATGGAAGTTCCTACTGATTACTATGTTAGTCTGTTATTGTGGCAAGTACAACTTTACGTGCGCTTCTGGTGAAACCGATTTGTCACTCGACCGATACAAATCATTGTCCATTAATAGTACCTCCTCACCAGCACTCGTGTGGAAGGCTGATAGTCTGGACTAAGGAAGCTTCCTTCATATTGCAGGAAATTTTTATATATTTTCTCCAACTGCACACAAATCTCACGACGAAGTTGTTTCGAAGCCGCATATATGACAACATATTTTATCAAGCGTATGTTTTCACAGCACCTTTCTCTATGTCGCCTCTCTCTATGTAGGGCGTCAGCAGGAGGGGCTGACCCGGGTCCACGCCGTTGTTGAGGGCATGGGGGTAGGGCTTCGGAAACATGCTCCGCAAGCAGTCCAACTGTCTGGCCGCTGCTACTGATGCCATAATGAACAGCACTTCCAACATGGAGGACTTCATTGCTGGTAACTGTCCTGACAATTATAAATCTCTTTAACTGGATCGAGAGAGTGATTTAAGTTTCAGTACAACGTCAACACTACTGCACCCGTGATGAAGGGATCAGTGAGGATGTTTCAAAGCTTTTACGGATATTCCAGCCACAGCCAAGATTCCAAGAATGAAGTGAATGGTCTTCATTAATCTGCATATCTACGAGGTAACATGTTCCAGAGGAAGGCTTGCCAGTGCGTCTAATTCAGTCGACATCTACATTTCTCTATTGTTAGAGGGACCCAATATGACTGCATAGATGTTGGCATGTGGAAACTAGCCGATAGTACTTTGGAACTGGGTTAGTAATCTTCGAAGTACAATTCCCCTCACTTATTGATAAACGTGTTGTGTTGGCTACTGGGTGTTTGTTACATCAGTATCTCATGGGAATTCCCATGCTGCTTACATACAATTTCGCTGTAGCAGTATTTTGGATGATACCTACATGAAGGTGACGTGGCGAATTCCTGCCGTTGCTTTGATAGTGAATTAAAATAACGAAGTCTTCATAAATTATTTTACATGGTCAGGTACATCTGGTCGTTGATTTTGCGAACAAAAGTGGCAATTATCCTGCGAAGAGAGATAGAATATAGTGAAACTGACCACGACCAACAGACTGGCCATTGACCTACCTCCTTCAAGTCGTACGATGCGTTCCTCGTGATAAGATAAAGCAGATCGGTCGTTTCAAAACGTGGCGAAAAGGATGATGTACACGTTCATGTATTATTTAAAGCACTTTGTGCTTGTGCTTTTTAATTTATCAGTGATGTGTCAACCTTTCGTGAAACGTCCCTTAAGGAGATCGGTAGTGAGAGTAGAATTTAAACAGATATACACAGACAGCTTACTGCTGCAATAGGTATTTGGATTGTCATTGTGAACCCCTACTGATAAGGCTTCCAGGATGTAGGTTATCTGTGAACGGCCTATTACACGAAAGCCTCCAGTTGTAGCGCCGAGGCCTCGGCTTCTGTGTGCCACCTGCTTCACTGAAATACTCCCACATCAAGCTGACACCCCATGATGTTACAGAAATACTCCCACATCAAACTGACACGCCGTGATGTAACTGAAATACTCCCACATCAAGCTGACACGCCATAATGTAAGGGAAATACACCCACATCAAGCTGACATGCCCTGATGTAACTGAAATACTCCCACATCAAGCTGACACGCCCTGATGTAACTGAAATACTCCCACATCAAGCTTACACGCCACGATGTAAGGGAAATACTCCCTCATCAAGCTGACACGCCCTGATGTAACTGAAATACTCCAACATCAAGCTGACACGCCGTGATGTAACTGAAATACTCCCGCATCAAGCTGACTGACACGCCGTGATATAACTGAAATACTCCAACATCAAGCTGACTGACACGCCGTGATGTAACTGAAATACTCCAAAATCAAGCTGACACGCCCTGATGTAACTGAAATACTCCCACATCAAGCTGACACGCCAAAATGTAAGGGAAATACTCCCACATCAAGCTGACACGTCGTGATGTAACTGAAATATTTCCACGTCAAGCTGATTGACACGCCGTGATATAACTGAACTAATCCCACAAGAGGCTGACACGCCGTGATGTAACTGAAATACTCCCACATGAAGCTGACACGCCGTGATGTAACTGAAATACTCCCACATCAAGCTGACACGCCGTGATGTAACTGAGATACTCCCACATCAAGCTGACACACCATTATGTAACTAAAATACTCCCACATCAAGCTGACACGCCGTGATGTAACCGAAATACTCCCACATCGAGCTGACTGACACGCCATGATGTAACTGAAATACTCCCACACCAAACTGACACGCCATAATGTGACTGAAATACTCCCACATCAAGCTGACACGCCGTGATGTAACTCCTTGATGTAACTGAAAGATGGTTCATTCATCTTTTTCCACAAACACATCTCTGCCATACGAACCTTGTCATGTACGACATAAAGCGTTCTATAATTTAATAAATATAACTATAAACTATAATTTTTATTCATTCAAATGAAATATCGTTCACACATGTTTTTTACGATAAATGAATACACGAAACAAAAAAACTAATTCAGATTTGTAGATTAAATTTGATTGAATAAATCGTCTGCTGTAACCAGCATGTAAACAACAACGGCGACATTGTTGTCCCCAATAAAAGTGAACGATCTTGTGAAGATTGACGGAAAATTGGTTGGAAGAGTAGTGAACATAATACAGCCATTGAACAGTTTCAACGTCTTTGTGGTGAAAACTGACTTGTGTGAGCGACAAGTCCCTCGTTATAGACTACGCGTGATTCCTGAAACCGTGACTTCAATATCTTCCACGCCCCCAACATTTTGGTTTTAATCAATCATTTGTGGATGATTTGATGGATAATGATTTCTTTGGTGGGCCAAATAACATCCTTGATGTTCCAAAACAAGCAGAGAGATTTGTTGATGTAGGCTACATGATGGCCACATTGACAAATTTCTGGCAGAAAATGAAAATGCAAACACTATAAAAAAAAACATATACACAACACGCGAGTTGTCAAACAGTTTCTGCCAGAAAAGCTGAATGAGCAACGACCAATTAGAGTTATCCCTCCCACTGAACACGGTCATGTGCAAGTTTGTCATTGGCGTTTGGAAACAGGATGGTTCCGAGTACGAGCCAAGCTCACTCATCGGATTCAGGGGAAGTTTAGATCGCCACTCAAAACGCAAAGATTATGCAGGGAAACAGGGAAAGGGTAACCTACCTTACAGAGCGGAAGTTATTTCCAATAGTGAAATAAAACAACTCCGAGATGAAGGCCGGTTTGGCTCTAACATACCTGAATCCATATTAAACACTATGGTGGAACAATACATTTTGTTTGGTCTACGGTCAATAACTCCACACAGAAGAATGACTTGGGGGGGGAGGGGGATGTTCAGTTGAAACGAGATTCTGATAATCATGAGTTCATCGAGTGTGTTGAAAGGCAATCAAAAACCAGAACCGGAGACGACCCCACGAGTGTTCGTGATGTGACACCCAGGGCCTGGGCCCAACCCGACGACCCCTCGTGTTGTCCAGTCAACGTGTATAAGGTGTTCCGCGACTTGAGACCCAGCAATTTTTCTATCTCGCAACAAACACCAGAGGCTGTCCCAAATCTGGCGAATCCTGGTTCAAAAGGCAGCCTGTTAGGGAAAACAAACTTTGTTCTCTAATGAACAACATGGCTTCCAAAGCCAACCTTTCATCCGACAAACGTATTAGTAATCACAGTGCTAGGAAACACATGGTAGCATTCAACGTAAATATTTGCAAGCCTGCTGAGTCGGATGTTGGATCCACTGCCCCCCAACGTCGGTGCATTGGCAACATATCTTCCGACTCAGAATGAACTCTTGCTCCAATGTTCTTGGTTTATGGACATTTACGTTTAACTTTTGTGAAAATGCTGTATAAACACTCTGGCCTAAATCTAGATCTATCAGTTTAAGGTCAAGGCCACGTCACATTACAATGTTCCAGTTTGAGAAAAAATACTGCTGTTTTAAAATGAAAAGGCATATGGTCGCTTCAAAGAGTCTGTCAAATAAACCTCACTTGTTGTAGAATGAGTTTACACAGTTTGATGTTGTTGAGAATGGGCAGACGGAGAAAAGTTTTGGTCATCTTTTCGTAGTCACGAGAGCTAGTGACTTTGAGGCGACTGACGACATGTCGATCGAGAGAAACTGGGACGTGTTTGAAAGCTGTTTGGAAGAGAATACAACACACATGCACGTGGCCGTGTTTATAAACACGACACGCATGACCAAGGAAGATCAGCTCATCACCGTACTTCACCCGAAAGGTCCGGTCAAATGTCACCAAGTCATCGAGGGGCACGTGGTGCGTGATCCAATCAGAATTCTGCTTTGATGCATTGGGATCAAAGGTGCTGGAATGTGAAGTACTGGATCAGGGACGCTATTCTCCAAATACCGCCTGACGTCAGTTGTGCTTGGAATATGCAGACGATGATATCACTGGTATAACCGAAACACATGATGTAATAAATGTAGATGGTTATACATGGTATGGACCATCTTCCCGAGGCAAGAGAGTTAACTGACTTTAAAAGTCCAGTTTCCACCCTTGCCGAACTAGGCTGGAATTCCTGGGCTATGTCCTTTCTATGCCTCTCCTATTGACTAATCAGATTCAACCTCTCGTATCACTTGCATTTGCTTCAAACAAAACGGTGGCGCCCAGTCAAGACGATCTGATCGATAATCAAGATCTATATTGTGATAAAACGAGTCTTACATCGCTAGGTGCATCAAATCACGTGAGCACCTTGATTAAAAACAGGAAAAGATTTAGAAAATATCTGTTGACTACGAGTTAGCGGTGCACATGCTTTGCAAATCCTGCAGTCGACCGAAATCTGCATGACACTTTACGAACCGGATTTCGATTTCGGTGCGCGATTTTGATTGGACTATGCATAGACTCGCTAGTCCAGCCAAAATGTAACTCCGTAATACCAGCCTAGTTCGGCAAGGGTGGAAACTGGACTTTTATAGTCAGTTAACTCTCTTGCCTCGGGAAGATGGGTATGGACACAATCGGCCGCATATTCATGTACGGGCACTACGGGGATCCGGCGGTGTGGGTTTTTTAGTCAAGAATAGTCTTATTGACTTGTATGACATTTCAATAAAAGATAATACATGTGAAGGCATTTTATGGCTTTCACTGGTTCCTAAAGAGGTTAAGTCTAGTAGGTCTGTGTGTGTTTGTTACCTGCCTCCTGAGAATTCTACACGCCATGTGTGTGCTGAAACCTGTTTTGATACACTGTTATCGGAGCTACATGAATACCAGCATGTGAGCTTCATGTGCGGTGACTTTAATAGTAGGTGTGGTGAGGAAAGTGACTTTATTGAAGGGGTAGATGTCATTACTGAAAGACAGATTATTGATTTTAATCATGTAAAAAAATGTTTAGAATTTTTAATAAGAGCTAATTTAAGTATGTTATCTCTGGTATGAATGATTTTAGGTTTGTTTCAAGCCAAGGTATGTCTGTTGTAGATTGTTGTTTTGTGCCATATGATTTTTGTTTTGTTGTTGTTGTTGTTGTTGTTGTTTAACGCCGCACTCAGCAATATTCCAGCTATATGACGTCGGTCTGTAAATAATCGAGTCTGGACCAGACAATCCAGTGATTGACATCATGAACATCGATCCACGCAATTGGGATCGATGACATGCATCAACCAAGTCAGCGAGCCTGGCCACCCGATCCCGTTTGTCGCCTCTTACGACAAGCATAGTGCTGCTGGACAGGTTTAATAACTTTAAAATAACTAGGCCTCCCCTGCTAGTTGAGAAATCCGGCTGTGTGGGTCAATATAGATGGGCGCGTTACTTAAGAATGATCATTCCATGTTAACATGGACAATGGCCTTAGATAGTGTGTACATGGTGGAGGATTCGCTGCCTGGTGCTCGAGATTATTCGGAGGTTTTCATCACCGATAAACCGCCCAGTGACTTCCTCCAAAGTGGAGAAATACAGGAAGAGCTGGGACTTGTTATAGAGAGACTGCAGTCTTGTTAAAGGATCAGCAGTGTATTGATGAGTGTTATGAGGACTTTGTAACTGTAGTGTATGAAGAAATGTCAGATAGGTTATCAAAGAAACGTATTGTGTTAACAGACAGTACTAGAGGTAACAAGAAGAGACGTGAGAGGAAGCCAGGGTCGAAGGACAATCCCAGTTGTAAATGGAATGACGTGTGTGAAGCAGAGAAGGCATGGAACAGAACGAGTAATGGGGTCAATAAATCTGAAAGGAAGCAGGAATATATACGTCTGAGAAAACAGTTTAAAAAGAGTGTTCAAGGATTCAAGTGTAAAAGAATTTATAGAAGATCGGTGCAAAGAGAACTAGAGGTCATATGTGATAAGAGACAGAGGTATATGGTGTTTGTTTCAGTAGCTTGGGTCACTACAATTCAAACTATCTGGGACAGCTGGGCCCATATATACACGCATGGATCCAAGAATCCCATCAACAACAGGGCTGGTTACAGGATCCATATCCACAGCTCCAAACCCCAAGCACATTCGGTTCGCCTGCCTGATGGTGAGTCAATATTCACTGCTGAATTGGAGGCAATTCATCATGCACTCGAACTCATACTGATAGCAAAGCCAGTCGCCCTATCACATTCGTCTCCACTCGCCCCTTTTCCGTAACCCGCAAGACGATTAGGCTTGTCCCGGAATAACACGAGTTGGTCAAGAATGGTCCTATCAAACTCGCTAAGTGCACTTCAAGCCATCAGCGGCAGAAACCCAAACTCAAGGCCATTCTATACGAATATACAAAACAATCGGTGGAGCTGTGTTGGATCCCCTCTCACATAGATATTCATGGAAATGAAAAAGCAGACACACTGGCGAGGCCCGCTCAAGACAAAGCGGAGATACAGCCTATTCCCTTTAGTAAAGTAGAGATATAAAGCAAAAGCAAAGCCTCCATAGCCCAAAGATGGCAAGCCCAGTCGGACGCAAGTAAGATCAGCAGATGGCTGTACAATATTCAACCCAAGATCCACCAAAAGCCAAACTCATACTCAAATGAAATGAAAGTTGAAATTGCCATCTCACGCCTCAGACTCGGTCACAAAAAGCACTATAACAAGGTATGTCCATCTTGCAATCAACCTGAATCCATTGCTCACTTGTTACTGTAACGTCAAGACCACGCCCCAGCCCGGCTCGGTTAAAACAAGAATTGCAGTTAGGTCCACTATCTGTCGTAGATCTCCTAAAGCCAAGAGATGCAATATCGAAGGCCAAGCTAACTCTATTTCTGATAGATGGACAGCTACTCGAATGTATGTAAACAGAGCAGCCAAAGATAAAATGAAATTATATCAATATACGAAAATAGAAATCATGTCAATACAAAAACAGAAATTCTGTGAATACCAAACTCACAATAGATGTGTGTACCCTACTCACACACATGAGTCTCAAAGATGGACAGGTCAGCCGAAATTGCTAAGGCAGAAGGCGACTTCTTAAACACTTATAGCAACAGCAACTGCGTTTGTGGCATAACCATAGCGGGTTAAAGGTTAGGAGAGTATGTAACGTCGTAGCGAGGCACACAACAAGTTCTTTTCTAAGGTTACTTGTACAACAAGAGCACCACTCGACAGACTTGTCAACACTCGAGATGCATCCATAGAGACATGGTCAGAAGACCATTCCAGTGCTGCCATAGACCAGAACTGAGGTAGATCTGACCGAGGATTGGACAAAGACCATGGCCGGCCAGCCCTACCTTCTGTCCTTCTGTTTAGAGACGGAGAAGACAATAAAATCCTGGCGTTCTCAACACAATGTCAACTGGAGGCACTTCAGTCAGCAGAGACCATCTACATGGATGGGACATTCACTTCCTGTCCTACACTCTGGGATCAAGTCTATATCTTCCATACCAGACGCGGAACCATCAACCATCCTCTTGTAGTTACCCTGTTTGTGTGTGCATATACTTCACATACGCTCGTATATATAAGATACTGTAGAAAAGTAAACTTGTACTTTATATACTTTATATCTTTTTATAAATACTTTACTACTTTACTTGGATCACTCCATTCTCATACTTAGGTTCTTCATTGCTTTTTGCGACTTATCGCGTAGCTATCTTATCTAATATAATACAACCGATACAAACCCTCTATCGTTATCTATCGTTATGAGTGATGTATATTGTATATCCGATATACACACTCCATCGCCTTTCATTCTGAGTGATGTAGATGACATGTCCGATATATACACATCCGCCTTTCATTGTGAATGATGTAAACTAAGCGGCAAAAGAAAGCATAGGTTGGCAATTTGTAATTTTCCTAAAAACAGCGATAACTAGTGGAAAGTGGGTATTGGGAATATGACTGCCCAGGAACAGGTACCAAAAAACACCTCACCCGAACGCGCCACCTTTGACGGCGCTCGTGCGGTGACAAAAACATGGTGAAACAGGTTTCCCGTCTATGGCATAAAGTGCACGTTAATGTTAGCAGTATAAATGCGTTCGTCTTTTTGATATAAAAACATACGAGGGTGAGATTTTATTTTTATCATCCAAAACTGGCTCCCACAGGAGATATCGCTTGGATGAGATCAAGCGATATCTACACTGTAGATATCGCTGCAATGAAATTACATCACAATGCTTTGCAGACCATTGTGACATCACTGGTTACCATGACGTCACAATCAAATGACATCACTAATGGCTCTGCTACTGAAGCTGTTAGCAGTACTTTTACACTGAAGACACTGCTAATTACTGTCTCCAAATTGAAAAAGTTGGAAGAATGATGTTGGATGATATAGAGAATCTCACCCGAGTGTCTTTTGATATCAAATATATCAACACGAGTTGATAAAAGTGGAAAAATTCCGAGGCTTGCCGAGGATTTTTGCCACTTTTATCAACTCGGGTAAGAAAAATAATAGAAATTAAACTCACATCGTCTCTTACAAACACAAATAATTGTGAAATAAAACAAATAAGAAATTAGCCCCCTACTCCAATTTACTCACCGACTCCGATTGGGAGGCGTAGTTAACTTATTGTGAAAACACTATACGCTTTGAAGTTTTAAGTACCAATACTCAATTTAAGCTGAAACTGTATTTAAGAGGCCAAACATGATGCTGTCAGATCACAATTATTCACAATGGCCTTTCGATGTGTTGCATGCGAGAAGACTGTCAGAAGAAATCAACATGCCGTATCATGTGATAACTGTGACCAGTGGACCCATCGAGTATGTGGAACAGGACTTTCTGTGGCTCGTTACAGAGAAATTTGCCGGAATGAAGAAGACTTCCCTTTCCGCTGTGTAAAATGTCCCGTCATTGAAGAGGTGGTCGGCAACTTTGATATCAGTTTCCAGTCAGAAGATGCTGATGAAATGATACAAATACAAACAATAAAAATAAAGTATATTAAACGATAAAAATGTTTTTATTATACATTAAAATTTCTTTCTCTCATGTTTTAGGTTGGCACAGACGCATCAACAACAAGGTGGGTGAGCAGTCCCTGGGGATCTACAGGTTGATCCCAGAGCTGTTCCGAGAGGCCAGTCTGTTGCCTTTACAGTCGCGACTGATTCAGGAGGGACGACTCAGGGCGTATGTTCGGAAATCTTCAACATCTCGTCAAGAGGAGATCTTCGACGTATGGCGAAGATACAAGGATGGGGATCTCTCCCTGACACAAGTACTTTCACAATGTTCTGTTGTGCATGGACCGATTTTGTGAAGAGTATGATGATGATGATGATGATGATGATGATGATGAAGATAGACATGTATATATGAACATATTTACTGAAAAGAGGAAATACAATGTAAATCACCAATGAAATACTATATTTACTTATATCTCTGAAAAGAGGAAATGTTAATACATCACTAATAAAATCCCATGTAAATAAACACTATATATTACTACAAAAATCGTTGTTATCGTTATTAAAAATAGAGGTGCCGTTTTCGCCCGACTCATAGTAGCCGTTTTCGCCATATGCGGTGCCGGTTTTCGCCATATGCGGTGCCGTTTTCGCCAGAGAAATCGGTGACGTTTTGCTGAGGTGCCGTTTTAGCCTGCACCCTTCCACGGCCACAATCAATATTTCAAAAACCTCTCAAATTCCTTTTTATTATTTTAAGATAGAAGATTTTATGATTTCATTGTGGCCACAATGTGATTTAGAAATTCATCCTTTATTTCAGACTTGCCTTAAAAAGCAATGGATTACACTTTCTATACATCTAATAATGACCTAATTTATTTTAAAATAATATCGTACAGACACAGTGACATTTGTGCATGAATGTGAATTGCCGCACGCAAAGGCGTGTGAATATTTACAAACTTAATAACAATTATTTTTTAAGATGTTTCCAATTAATCGTGAAGTATTTAATTTGAACTAGCAGGCGTCCTTGGGCTTTAACTATAATAGTTCAGGGCAAAACTATACCTTATTACACTACACATGGGTGTTGAGCAAATTTAACAAAGCTCACCCCAAACAAGCCTCTTCTGCTTTTGTATCACGTGACTGTAGTCACGAGACACATCTCATGTGATTTGATCAAAATGGTAGTAGGGACAGACAGCTGGAAAATGACGCTGGCGGTATTTGTATTAACATGCCTTATCACTAGTACTTTGGTAAGTCTTTATCCGTCCGGTAGGTTTAAATTAACTAAGGTTATAATTAGATATCGTATGTAATCAACTACCCATTGCGTGTTAAGTTAAACGGTGTCAGTCGCTGATATAGAACTGTGTGATAAGCTGGTGGTAATATGGCTGTTGACATTGACAGGGAAATAACCTGGGACATGTCGGTGTTCGTCAGATCGTGATACTTCAGTGAGAGTATATTGCCTACGTTGAGAATACCGAACACAGACTTTTCAAACATGTCACAATACCGTTTGACTTAATTTGTAGTATTTTGTTGCTGGCAACTAAAACAATGACCTGTGATGTCAGGGCATAAGCTCCTCTCAGTGATCTATCATCTCTAAACGCAATGTCATTAAAAAATTAGTTTTGAATGTTTGTCAGTAAACACAGGCACATTTTTTAGCGAGTGGTAGTTTATGAAATCACCTTTTTCAGTATGTTTATATTTTGTTTTCTCTTCATTCAAGTGTCAAATTATTATAAATGTGAACTTATATATCCCTGCTGAGTTACGGGATTTGGGGAGCTTAAGGAAGATTCTTAGTTTTTTCTCTAATCACAAGAACAACTGTAAAACATCTTACTCGATCAGTTATAAAATACGACTTTATGTTAAAAACAGGCCATCATCTAAGTATTTACAATGTCTGAGTGATTCCACCACTTCCATGTGTAATAGTGTCTGATTGACTGTCATCAACCACATCCATGTGTAATACAGTGTCTGATTGTCTGTCACCCACCACTTCCATGTGTAATACGGTGTCTGATTGTCTGTCATCCACCACTTCCATGTGTAATACGGTGTCTGATTGTCTGTCATCAACCACTTCCATGTGTAATACGGTGTCTGATTGTCTGTCACCAACCACATCCCTGTGTAATACGGTGTCTGATTGTCTGTCATCCACCACATCCCTGTGTAATACGGTGTCTGATTGTCTGTCACCAACCACATCCCTGTGTAATACGGTGTCTGATTGTCTGTCACCAACCACATCCCTGTGTAATACGGTGTCTGATTGTCTGTCACCAACCACATCCCTGTGTAATACGGTGTCTGATTGTCTGTCACCAACCACATCCCTGTGTAATACGGTGTCTGATTGTCTGTCACCAACCACATCCCTGTGTAATACGGTGTCTGATTGTCTGTCACCAACCACATCCCTGTGTAATACGGTGTCTGATTGTCTGTCACCAACCACATCCCTGTGTAATACGGTGTCTGATTGTCTGTCACCAACCACATCCCTGTGTAATACGGTGTCTGATTGTCTGTCACCAACCACATCCCTGTGTAATACGGTGTCTGATTGTCTGTCATCCACCACATCCATGTGTAATACGGTGTCTGATTGTCTGTCACCAACCACATCCCTGTGTAATACGGTGTCTGATTGTCTGTCACCAACCACATCCCTGTGTAATACGGTGTCTGATTGTCTGTCATCCACCACATCCATGTGTAATACGGTGTCTGATTGTCTGTCATCAACCACATCCATGTGTAATACGGTGTCTGATTGTCTGTCACCAACCACATCCCTGTGTAATACGGTGTCTGATTGTCTGTCACCAACCACATCCCTGTGTAATACGGTGTCTGATTGTCTGTCATCCACCACATCCATGTGTAATACAGTGTCTGATTGTCTGTCACCCCCCATTTCCCACCACTTCCATGTGTAATACGGTGTCTGATTGTCTGTCATCCACCATTTCCCTGTGTAATACGGTGTCTGATTGTCTGTCATCCATCACTTCCATGTGTAATATGGTGTCTAATTGTCTGTCACCCATCAGTTCCATGTGTAATACGGTGTCTGATTGTCTGTCACCCCCCATTTCCCACCACTTCCATGTGTAATACGGTGTCTGATTGTCTGTCATCCACCATTTCCCTGTGTAATACGGTGTCTGATTGTCTGTCATCCATCACTTCCATGTGTAATATGGTGTCTAATTGTCTGTCACCCATCAGTTCCATGTGTAATACGGTGTCTGATTGTCTGTCATCCATCACATCCATGGACGAGTTCTCAGAATCACAGTTCTCAGAAAATAGATTTTGTCCTTGAACAGTTTGAAGTGAATTATATTTTCACGCTGTAGACATATATGCATGATATGTGTGTGTCTGTTTACAGAGTCTGAAGCACAGTTTTACTGTAGATTACAACAATGCAACATTTCTCCAAGATGGCAAGCCCTTCCGCTACATCTCGGGGAGTCTGCACTACTCTCGGGTACATCCTTATTACTGGAAAGATAGACTGACAAAGATGAGGATATCTGGACTAAATACTGTACAAACGTAAGAAATGATGGTTATAATCCCCATTTTATCTGTGAACAACTGGCCTTGTCATATATGTACAGACAGTGCTGGCAAAACACCTTGAGTTTCTCAGTGTGACTCCTGAGGATGTTGAGGTAACTGGAGATGTCATCTCAGAGTAATATCGATGTATCTGTGAATGTTTCATGTCCATGCTGTATCAACACTTATATATGCATGTTGATACTAAATACAATTAATAGTTTGGAAGTGCCACAGAAGTGTCTACATGGAGTACTATTCCATGTACAATGGTTAAGATGAACAGTGAAGAGTTACATGGATCAGCCTAGTTCATATTTAGCATTAAGTTGATTAATTAAACATCTACAAAGGTACTTTTATCTATGCACATGTACATATTAATTAATGTTTATTTTAATTGATATATTGTGACCCTGTTGTTATGTTTGAGTCAATATATCAATACCTAAATTTCCAAGAGATTGAAACATGTGAACTGATGACTTGAAATTTAATACAGCAAATATGTAGGGTGAACGTAATCATTCATGCATCTAATACACAGGATGAAAACAAAGATTTGCTAATCAACAAACCTTCTCCACTCTCTCCCCAAAATCTCAAAATGACCAAAAAACCAACATCTGAGGTTGTGTAGAAGTAATGTACATTTCAGCTATGTCCCCTGGAACATACATGAGCCGATGCCGGGGGACTACCAGTGGACTGGGCTGGCTGACCTCGAGACCTTCCTGAAGACAGCACAGGAAGTGGGGCTCAACGTTCTCCTTCGCTCTGGGCCCTACATCTGTGGAGAGTGGGAGTTTGTAAGTGACCTTTACTACTTGGATATCAGGGATTATCCTACAGTCCCAAACAGCCAGTTTTAAAGTATATACAGTAAAGCCTCGTTAGTCTAGACCCTGTTAATCTGGAATCAGGGTTACACTGAACATGATATATGCCTGGATTAACAGATTTACTCTGTACATGATATATGTCTGGATTAACAAGGTTACATTGTACGTGATATATGTCTGGATTAACAGGGTAACACAGTTTATGATTTATGACTGGATTAACAAGGTTACACAGTATATGATATATGTCTGGATTAACAAGGTTACACTGTACATGATATATTTCTGGATTAATGGGGTTACACAATATATGATATATGTCTGGAGTAACCACGTTACATTGTATGTAATATATGACTGGATTAACAAGGCTACATTGTACATGATGTATGTCTGGATTAACAAGGTAACACTGTACATGATATATGTCTGTATTAACAGAGTTACATTGTACATGATATATGTCTGAATTAATGGTAACACAGTATATGATATATGTCTGGCTTAACAGGATTACATTGTACCTGATATATGTCTAAATTAACAAGGATTTTTTACTTCGATCAAGAACTTGCTCAGAGAAAAGAGCTGTGTGAAGGTCTTTGCTTGAAGAAGTTGTTCCAACTAGCTGAGAGGCCAACCCTATCACGCAGCTCCCACGTACGCTTTTCCGCCACCTGTACTCCTACCCAAACTGGTCCAGAAGAGCAGATCGACGCAGAACCTCGATCTGACTTTGGTTACACCCTGGTGGCCAGCGAGGGCTTGGTTCTTCGACCGCAGAGAGCTGTCCCCGCGAACCCACTGCCACTTCCAGATTGGCCAAATCTGCTTATCCACCCTCACTGCAGGCCACACCGAGGACCAGACAAGCTATGTCTTCACGTCTGATCCATTTACAGAGAGCACTGAACGCAAAAAAGGCTACTCAGCCAGAGCGTCTAGGGCCATCACAATGGCGCATCGCCCAACCACTAGGAGCCTCTATATGACTAATGGCAATCCTTCGAGAGCTTTTGCAGGGGCAAGCAACAAGACCCCACATCTGCATTGCCTCAATTCCTGGCCAAGTTCATGCTCCATCTGCGTCACAAGCGTAAGCTCAAGGGCAGTACCATCATGACCTTCCTTGTGGCGCTCTACGTCCTGGCAGTTCCGGGAAGATCGGCGCATGACGTAAATCCCGGAACTACAGGCTCTGCTCTGCTCATTCAGGCTGGAAGACCAAAAGGCGAAATCTCGTATACCAGCTTGGGGCTTGAATGTCATTCACTGCTCGCTGAGAGACGCACCCTTCAAGCCACTCGAAGCGACATCATCCTACAATCTGACGAAAAAATGGTCTTCCTACTGGCACTCGCCACAGCAGCCCGTGTCAGTGAGCTACGCGCCTTGGACGTCATGCACATCCACTTTGAGCATGGAGCACACGGAGAGCTGTGCATCTTGAACTGTGCTGGGACTGCTTCGCCAAGAATCAATTCCCATGACAGCCAGATAGATCGTTCCTCATACCTCCCCTATCTTCGATTGTGGGCGTGGAAGATGAACTAGAGCTCTGTCTATATCCGGTTAGAGCGCTCCGTTGCTACATCAGACGATCCAAGGACACCGTAGACAACGCTGCCGCCTCTTCATTCTGGTATAGAGCTGCGACCTCGCAAGCGGAAGGTAGCCACAACACGATTGGCCTCTGGCTACGAGCCTTCATTCTCCAACCCACATGAGACCCGGGTGATCGCCTCAACCATGGCGCTACACAGCGACTGAGTTCTACTTGCCATCTTGGAGGGGTGTTCTGGCAATCAAACACTTTCGTCGCCAGTCACCATATGTGAGATGTCGCATTGGAGGATGTGCTAGGCACGCACAACTTAGTCCGTTAGTAGTGCCCAACAGGCTCCTCTACTACACGTCTCTGACCTCGCCTTCAAGTCCAGAGCCGGCCTTTCGACCTCCCCTGGCCTATGCCCCACTTGCATACGGCTCGATACCCGTCTCGACCTAACCGAGAGTTATTGTCAGGCTGCGCAGTACCAGGACACAAGGCATACCTGACTCTTCCCTTCCATGTAATGGTCATCCAGGCCGACCATACAGCCGAAGACGGGCTGAGGAAAACGGAGTTTCCCATACATGGAGTGGTCACCTGATGCCGACCACACAGCCAACGATTGGCTAGGGAACAGAGTCTGGAAATAAAAGATGAAAGTCCACATCTGAAGGTATGCCCGCCTCCGGTTCCGTCCAATAAAGATGCATTAAGGAGTAATACAGGATAAGTAAAAAATCTAGTAAAATCCTAGATATTTTTTATATTTGTATGATACATGTCTGGATTCACAGGGTTACTCAGTATATGATATATGTCTGGATTAACAAGGTTACACTGTACATGATCGATGTCTGGATTAACAAGATAACATTGTATGTGATTCTGGATTAACAGGGTTGCACAGTGTATGATATATGTCTGGATTAACAAGGTTAAACTGTGCATGATATATGTCTGGATTAACAAGGTTACATTGTACGTGATGTATGTCTGGATTAATGGGGTTATACAGTACATGTTATATGTCTGGACTAACAGGGTTACGAGTACATTGTGAATGATATATACTCAACAACAAAAGTTCCTGTGAGACCAATATTTTAGTGTAGTTTTCAAACAAGTGAAGTTTGGTTTTCAATATTGTTGTACATGTATGGAATCTAGTCACAAAAACGCAACTGCTACAGAAAAGCATGCATTCCATGCAAAAGTTGACTTTTATGCAAGCCCCATGTCTTTCACTACCCAAGAATGGGTAGAAAAACATGTGCGTTAACGGGATTCCATATGCATTGTTTAGCATTGTGCTGACAACAACCACTCAGAAAAACAACAAAATTACGCAATAATTCAATATGACGAAATACCACGCCTGTCCGAAAAATGAGCTTCTGTGAGCCATTGGTATGCTTGAAGCAGGATCGAGTCAACGTGATGTTGCAAGACAATTTAACGTCCACAGAAACACCATTTGGTGTTTATGGCAATGTTGGCAACAGGCGAATGCAGTCAGAGGCTATCCTCGGAGTGGCAGGCCACGCGTAACGAATAATCGACAAGACAACTGGATTTGAACAACACACCTACGAATTCGATTCCAGCCTGCAACAGTGACTGCAAGAAGCATCCCTGGCCTTCGACGAATATCTTCACAAACCGTACGTCGTCGCCTCAGATGTGCAGGGATTGTCACCAGAAGACCCATTTTGACAGGAAACCACCGTCAAGCACGTCTACAGTGGTGCAGACAGCGTCTACGCTGGACGGCCATGCAGTGGGGACAAGTTCTATTCACTGACAAGTCTCGTTTTCACCTCAGCCACAGCGATGGACGGATTTGAGTGAACCGACGTTAAGGTGAACAATATGTCAATCAGAGGACACGTTTGATAGCGGTAGAGGGAAATTTCAATGGACAGCGCTACCGTGACGAAATCATCGGCCCTGTTGTTCTACCGTTTTTGCTTCGTCATGGCCCAGGTATTATCTTTCAACATGAAAACGCCCGGCCTCATATTGCTCGACTTGTTCAGGATTTTCTTCAACAAAACAACGTGAATGTCATCCCCTGGCCGGCTCGCTCCCCTGATCTCTCAGCAATCGAGCACATGTGGGATGAGATGGATCAGTGCCTTCGACATCAACCACATGTTCCACAGACACTCAAGGAACTTCGAAACATGCTCCAGTAGATATGGACAGATATCCCACAGGACTTTGTGCGACGCCTGGTCCATTCCATGAGACAAAGATGTGTTGCTTGCATCGCAACCAGAGGTGGAAACACACGCTATTGATTTGTAAATTGACATTTTGGCATGTTCATGTTTTTTATGCATGCAATTTCTGAAGTCAGTACGGCAAATTAAACCATTTGAACACTTACAGGAGTCTTTTATCTGTTGCAAACCCAAATTGTTTCAGATTTGGTAAAAAACATAACTTTGCATTAAATCTTATTCAATGTCACAGGAACTTTTGTTGTTTGGTATATGTCTGGACTAAAGGGGATTACACTGTACATGATATATGTTGGGATTAACAAGGTTACACAGTACATGATATGTCTGGACTAACAGGGTTACCCAGTACATTATATATGTCTGGACTAACAGGGTTACATTGTGCATGATATATGACTGGACTAACAAGGTTACACAGTACATGATATATGTCTGGACTAACAGGGTTACATTGTGCTTGATATATGACTGGACTAACAGGGTTACACAATATGTGATATATGTCTGGACTAACAGGGTTACACAATATGTGATATATGTCTGGACTAACAGGGTTACATTGTGCATGATATATGACTGGACTAACAGGGTTACACAATATGTGATATATGTCTGGACTAACAGGGTTACACAATATGTGATATATGTCTGGACTAACAGGGTTACATTGTGCATGATATATGACTGGACTAACAGGGTTACACAATATGTGATATATGTCTGGACTAACAGGGTTACACAATATGTGATATATGACTGGACTAACAGGGTTACACAATATGTGATATATGACTGGACTAACAGGGTTACACAATATGTGATATATGTCTGGACTTACAGGGTAACACAGTACATGATATATGACTGGACTAACGGTTACACAGTACATGATATATGTCTGGACTAACAGGGTTACACAGTACATGATATATGTCTGGACTAACAGGGTTACACAGTACATGATATATGTCTGGACTAACAGGGTTACACAGTACATGATATATGTCCGGACTAACTGGGATTACACAATATGTGATATATGACTGGACTAACAGGGTTATACAATATGTGATATATGACTGGATTAACAGGGTTACACAACAGGGTTAGAAATTGGCACTTGTCCTATAGTCCTTGCCAATCTGCCCAATAGTTAAGATATCATAAGGACTAGTAGATATTTGCCATTTTTGAGGGTTTTGCTATATATTATCATTATAAGGACTAGTGGACCAAAAATGTTTGTTTCTACCGCTGCACAATATGTGATATATGACTGGACTAACAGGGTTACACAATATGTGATATATGTCTGGACTAACAGGGTTACACAATATGTGATATATGAGTGGACTAACAGGGTTACACAGTACATGATATATGACTGGACTAACAGGGTTACACAATATGTGATATATGACCTTCAATTACTCAGTAATAGGGATCCCTGACCTTGGGTTTTCAAACAAGGCCCATTGTCTTCAGAGGTAACGGGTCACTTGTTCCAAAGGTATTGACATCAGTCCGAAACTGGGTAGTATGAGCGTGTATAAATACTATTTGCATAACCTTGTACTTATGCATGTATTTAAAGTTCATTTTAGGCTCTTAGTCTTAGTCTAGTTATCTATCAATTAACATAGGTTGAAGATTTGAGGCCAGACAAATTTAATTTCTTGTTCAGTTTTTTATTTGGATTTATTTTATAAATTTTGCAAATTTATCTGAAAATGTCTGACAAGAAGAAGAAAATAAACTGGTTTGGCTTCAATTTTGAAAGAAAAATCACATTCTACATACCATCTTAAAGTAACTCCATCTTGTTGACAAGTACAAGCTCAACACATGGATTGTTACTGGGTCCCAGAGAAGTGTTTTATACATGTAGAGTTCATTCTACATAAATACGTGCTGTGGTTGCAGGGTGGCTTCCCAGCCTGGCTGCTGACCAAGAACCCTGACATGGTGCTGAGGACCAGTGATCCGTGTAAGTGGAGTCAGTTTGAAGAAGTTCCCTGCATGGATTCATTTAAAACACTGGATCCATGCCAAGCTCCTCACAGCGATAGCTCCTTCGCGGAGCTCTCTATACTATCACTGCCACCAGTCAAAGCTCCCCACTGTGATAGGTGGCTACAACCATGATTGGAGTTGAACTCGCCTCCGTCAGACCGTTGTGTTTGCAAACAAGTGATGACAGTCATGACGCCGACTATTCTTATCCCAGTTAAATTATTTTCTTTGTGTGTCAATTTGAATTTCTAATTTTTCTCAACTATCATGTAATTGGTATAGTAAGAATGTAAGGGGGAAGTTGGGTGATTTTCCGTTCCTCTGCAACCTCGAACGAAAAAAAGAAAAGAAGGTACATTCATCTAGGAAATCTGGTCAGTCATAAACCTTTTAAAAATTTGCTATGGTCTCATTCTCAAAGACATAAACAAAAATAAATACAATGATTACATTTGGGGTCAGGGGTCAAATTTCAAGATTCTTGTAATGGCTACTTCCACACTGATTGCAGCCATGTTCCCGAGAGTGTATCGAAGGTTTCACGCACTCTGAAGGAGCTTGGATCCATGCATGTATTTAAAAAAAACAAAAGGTAGTTGAATCAAACAGAAAATAGTTGAGGGTAAGTACATCGTAGATGTCATGAAAGAGCAATCACAATTACAACCTTCTTATTCAGATGCTTGGAGATCTATCATTTTCGATGCTATTCTTTGAAAAATAATTCATCAACAAAATAGCACATTATGTGGTTATTTTGTTATGGAGTCTTAAGTGGTCAAGGTGCAAGGCCAACATGGCCAAAGGGTTGTGAAAGGTGCTAGTGAGATATTTGAGCAACTGGCCTGTCTGTGTACATGACATGGCTTCCCCCACAGCAGGGTTTCAGGTAGTGGCTGCTGAGTGTTACCTAGCAGACCAACCTCTAGTTGTCACCTTGAGAACTGCATGTCTGTGTACCTGGTCTTAGTTACAATGTAACTTTCTGTGGTATTTCTAATATATTGCTGAAAATGATAATGCATCTATACACTTGTGTTGTTAATGAAGTGTTTTGATATGTTCCAGCTTACATCGCCGAGGTAGACAAGTGGTACAGTGTGCTGCTACCTAAGATCAAACCATTCCTGTATGAAAATGGGGGTCCTGTTATCATGGTGCAGGTGAGGTGAACTATATTTCTCAAAATATCCTTCGTATATAACCAAGTTATGCTTGCATCAGTACTATCGCCAGCTGAATTACACCTACTGTTGCAGCTATTTTTTGCAATAGACTGACAGATCCCAACTGGTGTCTCCTAATATACTAATAGTCCAAAAACAACATACTAGAACATTAATGCATCCTCTTTAATTATGTTGCCTAATTTCCCTGTTGGAAATTCGTGTGAGCAATTCACGACCCAATCTAGAATATTTTTTCATCCATGGTGCACTGGCTCCATAAAGATTGCAAGCAGCATGAGGTTTCCTGAAGTCGCTCACCTTGTCGGCTACTACAGATGCTGTTCCTTCTATGTCCACCACACCACAGTTAATTTATATTGGCGTTCAGGAATTCCATCAGACCAGCCACTGGATGATATCCATCTGCTTGCCCATCACACTGGGCCAAGGGGTAGATGTAAGAGGTCACTATATTGGGCCAAGGGGTAGAATGTGGTCCCAACACCCATCACTAGTTGCAAAAGGTATTGGGAACCTTGGTGGTCAGGCTGTGGGACTGATGGCATGGATCGTTGCTTATAATATCAATCACTGAATTTTCTGTTCCAGACTCATCATATAGATATACTATTATTAAGTGCACTTTAAACAACAATTTACACACGTACAAACAGGGTATTCACATGTATCACATGCCAACCCTTGCCTACCTGATGTGTCTAGTGACCCAGCAAACAATTCTACGTTGTTACAACGTTGTGACAACGTTTACTTTTCGTTTCTACAACGTTGTGATGTTACGTTGTCACAACGTAATTCTGTAGACTCCCAGATTGGTTGCTACAACGTTGTGCGTAAACCAAAATACAACCAAATCAAGACGTTGTCACAACGTCCATTTTTTACGTCGCGACAACGTAGGTATCACATACTGTTTACATATGGCGACACTACAGGCATTGCAGCACGTTGTTGCAATGTCCATGTAGATTAACGCCTGTTTTATTCCTCAATACCTCCCAGGCAGCCTGAAAAGTTTGTACCAATCTAGTTAAGACGTCAGGTACCAAGAAATACATTCTGCAAACTGAATTCACTTTAACCCTATCCATGAAACAGCAAGTCAATGAAATGCACTCTCTTTTGGCAGAGTTTGAAATACGGCCAAGATATAAATCTAAATGTTTTAAATTACATGTACAATTTGGTAATATAATATTCATTTTCCAAAACAATTTTCAAGGCTATGTGCAAATTGTTCACAAATGTTTCAACACAATTAAAAGATATTGGATTTTCCCACGAATTTGCAAATCAAAAACCATCAAACAATAAGCCCTGCACAAATTGAAACATTTAAATTTTCTTGGCCTTACCTCATACATTCAGCATTGAGAGCAACACTGTGACAAACAGAATAGTCTATGCATCTGATGTCCTAAGATCCATTAGGTAAACGAAATGACAATAGAATTCTGGTTGAGGTGACCTTTATTTATTTGTTAAATGACAAGTCAGAACATGGGCTGAGTTGCTGGGGGAGCCTTTTCAGTCCTCAAATGAAAAGTCACAGGGATGATCTTCAACTGTATCCTCAGTCTCTCCTTATGCCTTGGTAACTGAATAAAAAATGACACAAATGTTATAAAATGGCAAGGCAAGGGACATATTTCTGACATAACAAAATAACGGTTGCATTCCCCAAAATAATGTTTTGATGTCTGATGTCAGTCTTTAAACTGTTAAAAACTGCTGAAAGTGCGAAGGCGCTGACACTAGTACCATGATGCTCTTGGATCATACATAAGCAGAAAAGCTTTTAGCACTGAATCATTGGTGTAACTTTATAACCCCGCCCTTTTAGATTGTGGGTATAATTAAATAAGAATCATCTAAATTTTCATTCTTGAAGATGTTTGTATATATTATTGAATCAGACATACCTTTCTGTCAGTGATATGTACTTTAAACAAATACGCTCCCACAATACTGTTTTCTCCACCTGAAAGAAAAACAGAAACCACAAAGTATCACATTCTTAAATAAACCAGTACTGTATAGATAAATCCCATTTACTTAGACTTATAGAGTATGATGTAACTGATGGTTATATTGGCAAATAGTTTTATCAGTCAACAGATCAACTGTAGTTTTTCAAAAGCAGTAACTTTACCTTTCTGCTGTACACTCAAACTAGTGATTCAAGTGAATATCATGGCCAAGTTTCTAAAACCTTATTTGAAAAATATGTACATAAATGAAAAATATATATTGCCAAATAAAATAAATAGTTCCCATATTTGAAGCAAGAATGTTGAATATGAATTATGAATTGGCCCACCAATAAGTGATAAAAGTGTTAACACTTTGGGGTATTTATCCTAATTAAAACTGTGATTTTTTTTAATACTTAGATCTACCTTAATATTTTTCATATTAATATGCCAGGATAGTTATATATGTTCTAACATTTACAAAGATTAGAAACATGGGGAAATAAACAAAATGCAATAGCTTATACAATACCAGACGAAGTTGAAACAGCTATAAATATTTATTGAAATTTATTTGTCACTACGTTTATTAACATAGATCTAATACAGTTAAATATCGTTAAATATAATTCTGTAGTATGGTAGCCTACGTGGCAACATATGGAGATCGAAAACCGAACGAATATGGTTGCTATCAATTCCATTGTATTTTTCATTGGTGCACATTGGCTACACCTATCTCACTTTAATAATCAACAAACGATGACCAACTCACTGACAATATATGGTGATATTTAACTTTTGACTATCGACTAGCTCATCATCACCAGAGAGGACAATACCGCAAACACCCCGTTATAGCGCACGACGAGAGACTCGTTTTCCTTTTGCTCGTTTTCATTAGAAAGGAGTCGGACATAGATCTAGTTATCGGAAAATGATGAATTGATTCTTTTTTCGGAAATAATAAACATACACATGATAAGCACCTTGCTATGATAAACTGTATAGACAGCAGCAACAACCTGATGATTCACATTTAGGCTACTTCAGTCAGTGCTAATTAGGCCTTTTCGGAAACAACAAGTATGTTTCTGTCTCTTCCCGAAAATACGATTTTTTTCATAACATCATTGATCACTTTAGACTAGGGCTATAACTAGCAGCCTACAGAGAGTCGATCTGAATACTTCCATTGTTTTGATTCCCTCTTTTCGCTGTATAAGAGAAATCGGCATCTACTTAACCTTTCCCATGGCCTGGATGAGCCACATTGTTGCACAAAAATCAAAGTCAGAAGATTAGTACATGTAAACTTTAAATAGTAATGATTTCAGAAATAACACGGAAGAAATGGCGATAACTGTCAGTGCGGTCAGTAGGCGATGCATAAGTTAGGCCTATTTACAAATCTACACGCTTACGAACGAAACCCGAACATAATATGACGGCCACAAAACGCCACCAGATTGAATTCTGGTCAAAAATATACCGCTTGCCCTTGGCAATTACCCTTGGTATCCATAAAATAATAATATGGAAAAAAGTCTTGGGCCCCCTTCACCTCTATCATCAAGTTCTGTGTATCATATTAATATCAACACTGACGCTCAGTGAAAATGACCTGCAAACTGCATTCTTAACCCTGCCACTTCTGAATAATACGATACATTTAGATCATTTGACCCACTGCATGCACAGAAACATATCAACAAGCGGAGACTATTTTTGAAAAATTAACTTACCTCAATCGAATTCACAGATCATCTGTCCAGTTCCAGTTGCTGCACAATCACTTGCTTGTAATATATTATGTCCAGAGTGAGTTTGAGCTAAGATGGCTGGTGACAACAAATCTTCCGCGACAATGTGACGTCATTCTGACGTCACTTCACGAGGCAACAGGCTAAACTTTTCTGCAGTCGCTCTCACGCCGCAAAAAATACGCGCCAAATGTTTTTAACTGTAATATTGCTTGTGACAACATTTAGCAGACAGATAACTTCGTTAATAGATATATATGTTTTAAAAAAAATAACACTAAGAGATGGTAGATCTACAAGTGGTTTCCTAAACATCATTTACAAAAAGTACTGTAATGTCCAAAGCACAACGTTATCACAACGTTAATTTGCAACGTTGTTGTAACGTTGTCACAGATATACGCAATTACGTTCTCGAAATATTAGTATTAAGAGATGAAAATTCAAATGCCGAATATATAGAAAGGTAATGCATTACTACCTTGGTTTTCTGACAAATTCATGTTGATTTTGATAAAGCAGTTCTATTCCTTTATGACTATCGAGAAGCAAACTCAATAACGTTTCAACGACGTTTCAGAAACGTAGTTACAAAACGTTGTGCGATGTCCAATGCACAACGTTTTCACAACGTGAATGTGCAACGTTGTTATTACGTTGTGAAATAACGTTGCAGGTCGACGTTAAAATAACCTTGTGACAACGTTATATCAAGACGTTACCAATCCACAACCTTTCAACAACGATGGAAGTGCGAATCATGCATGTATGGCGAAAATGTTATTGTCATTGTTTGTTGTTTAATCGCCTCTTACGACAAGCACGGGTTGCTGAAAAGTGAAAACCAAATCTAACATTATTGTAATTTTCTGCCAAAATGTAGTTTATTTCGAGTAAACAAACACCTTTGTTTTTACGCTTTTCGCGATGAAGACTATTTGACGTCGCACCAACGTATCAGAAACGTTGTCATCATAACGTTGCAAGGCGCCCGATGCACAACGTTTCCACAACGTAATTTTGCTACGTTGTGATTACGTTGTCACATAACGTTGGAGTGACGTGATAATAAGGTGTTTACACAGACTTTAGTTTATTTACGAGATGGAAATCCTGATTCCGAAGATATAGGTAAATAATGAATTACTGCCTTGTTTTCGGCAGAAATTGTGTCGATTTGTATGTAAAACTTTTGTTCATACAATTTTTGTTCAGGCGACAGTTGACGTCGCACCAACGTTTCAGGAACGATGTAACAAGACGTTGGGAAATATTCGATGAACAACGTTTTCACAACGTAAAAATGCAACGTTGTTATTACGTAGTGAAACGACGTTGCACAGTGACGTAATAATAACGTTGTGACAACATTGTATCACTACGTTACCAATTCACAACTTTACCACAACGTTGTGAAAACGTAGTGTGTTAGCTGGGGATTTGATTCCGCATATCTCTATGAGTTCATCTCAGCGAATTTTGATGGGAAGCTGTCTGTCAGCAGAGAGACATGATGCAACAGCTGTATCTCGGCTTTGTTAATTCACCAACAAAAGCCTCAGCTTATCCTGCCCAAACGCTTCAGTGCATCTGCCGTATTTTTTACACATATGGATTGCTTCCACCATTGGGGAGAGTACTGAATTGTTGATGGATAATACGAGAAATGAGAGAATGTTAGCATAGATTCCGAGACTTCTTGGGTCCTAAACCACTCTCACCCCACGGCGCAGCGATGCTAAAAACTTTTGCGCTCCCAATTGTGGCTGAACTATCTGCAGTCGTCACCTCTCATCACGTCCCCTACAGGCTTTCTTCCCACATTAAGCTGGTGAAAGCCTATAGGGACAGGCCTACAGAGGCTGTAACTCCACACACTACTCCAGACACCAGTAACAACTAACAAGCTGACTCAGTACCGGCCCTTATAGTGAAAGCCTATAGGGACAGGCCTACAGAGGCTGTAACTCCACACACTACTCCAGACACCAGTAACAACTAACAAGCTGACTCAGTACCGGCCCTTATAGTGAAAGCCTATAGGGACAGGCCTACAGAGGCTGTAACTCCACACACTACTCCAGACACCAGTAACAACTAACAAGCTGACTCAGTACCGGCCCTTATAGTGAAAGCCTATAGGGACAGGCCTACAGAGGCTGTAACTCCACACACTACTCCAGACACCAGTAACAACAGGCAAGCTGACTTGGGCTAGTGCGAATTTGCATTCCTAAATTTTATTGGTTGAAGTGAAATGTCAATTCTGTTTTTCTATTAAACTTTGTCAACATGTAAGTTGTAGGCTTGAAGCCAGTGGACAAGTGCTTGTACTAGAAGCAGTTATCTGGCTTCCACACCACATTGACAAGTGTCTTGATGCTTCATCTCTCTTCATCAAGTCTGAGAGTTAACATCACTCTGATACAGTGTTTGAAATAAGCACTTGCCTGTGGGCACATGGCTGGTAGATCTTGTGTCGGGCCCATGGTTTCAAATTTATTTGGGTCCTTATGGCCTGCAGTAAATTTACATGTTGATATATTGGCCACAGTAAGCTGCAGGTTTTTAAACGAGGGCCTGATACAAGCCTGGAACTTGTTTATTTCCAACACTGCTCTGATCCTGTACAAGTGATGTACCGGGGTAACTCTACAGATATGTTCTATTGTTTCAGATTGAGAATGAGTATGGCAGTTACTTTGCCTGTGACTATGACTACGTCCGCTTTCTGTACAACAAAGTCCGCTCCGTACTCGGCAACACAGTTGTGATCTATACCACCGACGGGGATGGCGACAGCTACATCAAGTGTGGTGCCATCGCTGGTGCCTACGCGACTATTGACTTTGGTGTAACATGTAAGAACTTTATTCGAAAATATGTGAAAACTATTTTTAATTGAAAATATTATTAAATCAAGAATGTACCGGTAAGTGTTTTCACATTGTAGTTGGTTTGGTGCCACCATTAACAGTGCAGAGTCTGTTGACTGTGCCATGATAAGTTCATTGTGGTTTTTGTAGCGAATGACAAACATGGCTGACTGAACATGAAGTGGAATACATCACATCCCCCTCCTTCAGCATTAATCTAAGGAAGATGGAGGGAGCAAGACTACTTAGGTGTAACATTAGCAGCAAATACCAACTGGTTATCAAATCAGCAATACAGACTGGTTAATAACACTCTGATATCTCTTGTAAAAACTTTAAATGCCTTAAAACTGTTGCTAGGTATTGGCCTGACTTTCATATTGCAGTTTATTGCAGTAATGATTCACGACTTGCGATACATACCACAAAATATTGCATGCATTTTTTCATCTGTAATTTGGTATGAATCTGAATGAAAAAAACTTTTTCCACCAGAGCTTCAGATAACTTTTTTAGCAATTGAGTTTTTACTCAGAGGTTTCTATTTTAATTGGGTTATTACATTTCTCATTGGGTAACCAATATTTTTCACTGATCTATTCATCACTCCATTGTTTTTTTTTCCCAAAATGAGCTAACATTTTGAGATTTCAAAAAAAATAAAATAATGTTTTAGATGTATATAAGGGTTCTAACTAAAAGCTTGACTTGGAAAGTAAATAAGCTCGTAATTGTGTTTCGGAATTTAGCTCTGTTGTACACATGCAGAAAAAAGCATCATTGGATATTTTTGCATGCTGTTTCTATACATTTAAGATTTTCATTTCATGCATGCATTTCTGTACGCAAGTTAATTGAAAGTAATTGGGTTTTGAATATTTTGGGAGGTATTTTACGCAAATACAAAGCTTATCTGTAGCTCTGCCACATGCATTTTTGACAACTTCGTAATTGTCCACCATTTTGTTAGATGTTGCTGTGGTCACAAGGCATGGATAATATATGCACTGTATAAAGGAAGTTGATCACTGATAGTTTTGCTTCTTCATTTGGGAAACAACTGCAAATTTCCTAAACCTTCATTTTGACTTGTGACTTATGTAAACTTTGCCAAAAAGATGAAAGAGTGCATGATTTTGAAAAATGTAAAATGCCAGTATTTCCTTAAAGTTAGACCTCTGGAAGTGGGGACTTGATGTCACATGTTGAATGTCATACAACTGGCAGAAGGCTTGAAACTCTCTGGAGTCCAACTGTGGCCCCTATCTGTATTCCATGGCAACAGGAGACTTCATGGCACTTACTGTAGCTGAAGTGGAGTGTTTTTAACTAAACTGCATCAGTGAACTATGACTAGTTATCCACCAGCACAAGCTGCTGTTTGTTCTGAAAGTAGAACAGGCCATACACCCCGAACCTCCTGGTTGCTGACGCTTGTTCTGGAACTGTGTGTATTTGTGACAGTCTCTGATGGCATTCTCTATTTCACCATCCATGCCTGGCCAGAACACCACTTCACATGCATGTTGTTGACTTTTGCCATGCTTTAGACTGGTGTCCTTTAAAGATAAACTAGACATGTTCTTTGAAGCAATGAAACACTTGAAACATGTCCAAAGCATCCCAATTCAGGGCTGGTTGCTCAAACTGCAGGTTATGATCAGCTGCTATCTTTTCTGATATGCCATTTTCTTACCGTGAATGTTTGTCTGAGAAATTAACACCAGACCAATGAAGCCTCATAACTGATACACAAAGAATGCCTGTTTTGTTGGAAGTTCATTGGTCAGTCAGGGTTTCCATGTGTATTTGTGGCAGATTTCATCTAACAGTACTTCTGTCACCATGTTGTGAATGACAACATGATAAGCATGGCTGACTGAACTTTGTACTTTGGAAATAAATTTTTGGTATTATATAAATTTATAATAATATATTTTTTATCTGTATATATTTATTAGATCTGTTTCAGAACTACTCTTGAAAGTTACTTGAAAGTGTAATAAACTGGGAATAGTTGATTCTGCTGAGTTGCAAAATATTGACAGCTTTGAACATAATCCTCCAGATACTCCTGCCAAGAACTTTGCTGTACAGAGGCACTATGAGCCAAATGGACCAGCGGTAATTATTATGAAGTCTTTTCCTTCTTGCTTTTATTTTTCAACACTTGAATAAATGGCAAGGGCCAGTAAGTGTTGGAGGTATGAGGTTGTGTGTTACTCAACGTTTTGTTTGTATTTACCTACAGTGGATATGAAACACTGTTTAAAGTATCCTGGTGTCATCAGTTTTCACTCACATGTGAAAACTGTGCTCATAAAATACAAATGAATATTAGAACAGTAAGAATATGGTATGTGCCTGTTGATATGGTCGAATGTTTACTTTTTAACTTATCCTGCATTACTCCTTAATGCATCTACTGCTGTTTTCTGACAGAAAGACGGAACTGTGTGAGATCCAGCTGCTGAAGAAAAGTTGTTCCAAGCAGAAGAGGCAGCACCCTCGCACAGCTGTCACGTAACCCGGAAGTCATGGCATCACATCAAAACACATCACTGCTTTGTCACCTCCACAGACGGACGTACTTTGTATCCCTTGTGGAAATTAAAGCTTATTGTTTCTATACTTTGCGTGTTTCTGCATTCATTGTATGCTGCTATATTGTTACCTGTTTATGATCTGTTACCTTTGGGATCTTTCCATTTGTAATTTGTAATGTTTATCGCTGGTTTGTGGCTCTAGACACAGTAATTTACAGGCGTATTGTTGTTCCCGCCATTTTGTCTCTTTCCCTCCTTTTTGGCCATTCACCACATGGCCACATACCTTAGTGTTTTGCATTTTGAATTCTTTATTTAGCTTGGGTAATGCACTAAATTTATTTATTTTGTGTTGGCGTGTTTTACGCTTGCACTACCTTTTTGTAAAATGGTTTGCTCTCAAAAACTTTTATATAATGAAAAGTTTTTGCATTACATTATTATTCCTGTTGTGTGTTTGCCACATCATTATATGTTTGCTTAAATTCCAGACTTTATGCCTCACAGCCACAGGAACAAATCTGGTCTGGGACCCGCCCCTTCTGCCTTGATTGTACGACACCCTGTACTTTCATAGCATAGTGCTGATATTGCAGTCCTTTGTCGCTGTGCTCCTTCAACTCTTACTAATGAGTATCCAGGAAACGTCTCACTCAACGTGCTCATCGACACCCTGACATGGCTTACAACTTGGAGACTCCCTCTCTCATCACAACCAACGCCCATTTGCGGTCTTCTACACCGCCCTTGCTGTCACCTTTATCAACATCGTCCTCTCCTCCAGTGATGCCCATTATGGGACCGGATTTCCCGTCTCCTCTGCCATCTATGTCGACAGCACCAGTGCTCTCAGCGCTCCCTACGCCACCGGCACCCTTGGTTTCCATGGCTCCTTCGGCCCTCCGGCTCCTGCTATCCTGTACTCTAATTTGGCATCAGCGGCAATGGTGCCCTTGGCTTCCACAGCACCAACGGCACCAACAGGGCCATCAGCAGTTGCGTCACCGGTGCAACTGGCACCTCCTTCTATTACAGACTCTCATCGGTCTAGATCGTCACGACGGAGCAGAAAGGGACTATAGTTCAGATTCCTTGGAGGGATCTTTTCAAACCAGTAGACATTCAACTTGCCGACTGTTTGGCTGATCTTTTGGCTTCTGTTGCTCTGTCTCCGGGCCCCGACATGGATAAAACACACTGTTTGGCCCCTATTGATGCCCTTCCTTCCAGACCCTATATTGACCATTCTCACTTTGGCACCTTAACTTTGTCGTTTAAAGCACCGTGCTTTAGGAGAGATGACCTGCAGGTTCACTCCTTTGATGTGGCTGAAGGATCTCACATCTTAGAAGCCTCCTACGATCCGCTTTGCCGATACATGCTCGGTTTCCATTGAATTGGAAATTCGTCGCTCTATGTAAGCCTGGCCTCATGATAAGAGCGTGGTTAAGATTCCTGCCTTTTCCAGTCTCATCGGTAAATGAGCACACAGAGAGGGTGATGGTTCTCTCGTTGAACTGGGTTCACGTGGCTTCTGGTGGACATCATCTGTATCAGAACTTGCAGATCTTCACTGTTTACGCTCATTTAGCCTGTTTGACCTCTTCGTCATAGGCTACCAGGAACCCATTTCTCGGAATAATTGTTGACTGGTCAGGACAAGGTGTCTCTAATATCATGTGTTCATTTTTGCACTCTTCTTCGTCAACAGCGCAGGCACCAACGCTCCTCTACTCTTCCCTAGCAGTGTTCCTCAACGAGGCTCTTCCACAGTGCTCCTAGTTTTTCCACAGTCTTCCCGGTGCTTCCGCTTTTTTTTATTAGAACTCGGGTACACCACTTGTTTGTCTACCTCACAGTTCATTGAGGACTGTCTGTGTATGTAGGTTGCACCTCATCGCCGGCTACATTGCGGTTTTCTCGGCTACTTCGCAGGGTGATTTTTCTAATTCTTCCCGCGGCCATTCCATCAACCCCTGTTGACTACATACCGAGGATTGTGTTGCCTTCCTTCATCGTCACCTCAATATTAGAACAGGAGCACTTACCTGATGCTCAGGGTTGGAATGAAACACATTACTTCATGCAGTACAATCTTTCTGACCAAAGACTTATATCTATTCAGATACAGGGTCAATTTTATTACTCTTCCCACGACCGTTCCGTTGCTCTCCTCTGTCTACATGCAGAGTAACGAGGCACCCCCCTTCGTCGTCACCTCAATATGAGAATGGGAGTGCTTATATAACACCAAGGGGATGGAACTGGTCACCTTACGTTGTTCGGTGTGATCTTCAAGAACCCCAATTTTCCAGATGTCTACCTTATCTTATAGCTATAGCTTCGACTTCCGACTAACCGGTAAAGACATTACGTCAGTGGTCGGTTGAGATGCGGGTTTATTTCGTAAACATGGGGTTTGGTATTGGTTCACAGGTGAACACATCATCCTGACACGATCGGAGACCCCTGTTGTTGACTTTTCAACTTTGCAGTCTTGTAGACGACCTCATCTACTCTTGTGTCCGATCTTAAATAGTCTCAGGGCTGTGGTCCAGAGATCAACTCCATTGGCACAGCAACAACCTCGAGCTGAAAGCGCTTTTCCTGGCTGTCACTTCCTGGTGTGCATTCTAGGTCATGTCCAGTTGATCACCATGTCATATTGTTTCAGGAACCAGGGTACTCTCCATTCCTGCCAAACCAGACATTCCGCTTCTTCGTCTTAGTGGTCAGCCTGGACCTGCAATTTCTCGTTCAGCACTTACCAGGTTGAGGGCATGTTCTGGCACACAGTGGCTCTTCATAGCAACTGCTCCATCAAATATATCAATCAATCAATCTTTATTCAAGTACTTAAGAGGCCCCAGGCCTATAGTACATGTGACAGAGATGTTACACACAACTTTAACTATTATTTACAGATTTGGTTTTTATATAACAGTGCGTGGAATATGTACATGGCTAAGTTTTGCATTATCAATTTATCTAGACTGTTTAACAATTGTCGGAATTTCACACTATTTGGATCATTAAAGTAGTATACAGGAATATATTTTTTCTCACAGTGGAGTACAATCGACATACAAGTAAAAAGTGATATTCATCCTCTATATCTTGCCTATTACACATTTTACATAATCGTTCTGACCTTGGAGTTTTTGTGTATCTCCCACTCTCGATAAGTAAATGGGATGAACATCGAAATCTTGCCAGTGATTTGCGGGATATTTCTTTATATTTATATAAAAACAGATACTGTTCAGTGTATATATGAGTTTTCAACATTCTTTTGATATAAAATATTATTCGATAATGTCAACGAAAATGACCACTATTGCAGATAAATATTTTTTAACCTCTGTAGAAAAGAATTGGTAAATACACTTTCATATTGTACAAGTTGATCATACCAAACATTTCCAAAACCACTCATTGAATAACAATTTTTTTCACATAAGTTACCCAATTAGTCTTTCCATTCGTATAGTATAACATCATCATCATACTGTAACTTTTCTTAGGGTATTTCGATGAATTCATTTTAAGGAGTTTCAGCCAGTACTTTATGACTTTCAGCTGTGAATATATAAATAGAGGAAATCTACCACATTCTCCATATACCATTCTCCATAAACCATCAAATATATCATAGAAGGCTGTTTTTGACGATCAGACACCGTCTTCGCCAGCCACTACCTTTGTGACGAAGCATTCGCTCTCAGGTCAGTTCTAGTTTTTGGCTACCTGCCTAATTCTATTTCTTTCACCTATTCAGGTTTTCCTTTATGCATCGACTATTGTTTCCTGCCAACAGGAATTGTCGTAGAAGTTCCGGTAATCACATCACATCTGAAGGTATGCCCATTGACAGTGCCGTCTGATAAAGATGCATTAAGGAGTAATGCAGGATAAGTTAAAAATGTTAGTAAAATCTAAACATTTTTACATTTGTATACTTATCCCGCATTACGACGTCTTAGTGCCCTCACTTCGCTATGATGCCTCCCAACAAAGTTTCAGATGTTTTATTTAAAGCAGTTTTGTGTTTTGATGTGACATCATGACTTTCGGGTCATGTGCCAACTGTGAGGAGGGGTGCTGCCTTCTATTGGTTGGAACAATTTTTCTGTAGCAGCTGGATCTCATACAGTTCGTCTTTCTGTCAGAAAACGGCAGTAAATGCATTAAGGAGTAATGCAGGATAAATATACAAATAAAAATATGTAAAATGTAAAAAATATTTAGATTTTAATAATTTTATTCAAATGTTTAATGTGAAAGTCTATGAAGCAAAAGTCTGTAACGATTGCTTCCAAAGTTCCGAGTGCAGCCATGACACTTTGGAATGACGTCATATGTTTTCGCTCTCCTCATTGGCTTGCTATTTACGTCCACTGAGCCTCACACAAGCTTGTCACATGCACAGTTGGGGAATCCCCATCACAAAACGACATCAGTAAAGTTAACTCAGGGTGAAAAGAGTGTCCAAACTTGAATATTTGGATACATTATACAAAGTCACAAAATATTTACACAATTAAAATGCACATCACTCCTCTGGCTCGACATGACAGGGACACCAAAACTCTGCATGTCGTCTCACACACGTAACAGGCATGCAATAGATCAGATGAGTCCAATGTGAACATGCAGGGTGTGTGCATTGTGTCCTCTGTTAAAGGTTTTCCTCCGACAACCGAACTCAGGACCTTTCTTTTCTTTGTGGGTTTAGGATCTGTTGTCAGGATGTGTTCAGCATATCTAAAAAAGCTAGTACACCAAGTGGTTCTTATCCAGGATCTTCTCCAATTCGTCAAAATAGGCACGACCATCTTCTCCGATGTGGCTTTTGCTCTCATGATCTCCAAAGAACGGGGCTTCTGCCCTCTAAGTTCTGCACATCTGTTAAGAAAACTGTAAAACCACTGATGTAAAAGAGGCTTGTCATCTTTTGGTTTCTTCCCCAAGCAGACGGCAAGATCGGTAGCTAAAGCTGTAACTTCTGCACAAGAATAGCCATACCCAAAAGCAGACATCATCCCTACATCAGACTCGAGGATATATTCCTCCTCTTGGGATAATAATGCAATCGATTCCCATCTCACACATTCAATTATTCCATAAAGTCGATCGTGAAGAGACGAATAGGGCACTGAAAACTGTCTTGCTGCACTTTTGAGCCCTTCCCCGCTAACGACGGGCTCATAAGCTTTTCCCTTGCTCTAGTGGATATTGCCATTAATTGCCCTTCCCTGAGCTAATGGAGCCCTAAAATCATAATAAAGACTCTCATGACATTAACGTAAAACATAATGAAAATTTCCACTTAAAGTATGCATGTTATAAGAGATGGGCCCACTGCCTTTCCATACATCTTATTTTTAGCCAGAGTATCATGTGATGGTCATGTGATTTTCTGAAAGCCGATATCAACACCAGGCAGACAATCTATCACTTAGGTTTTTGACAGCACTAAAACTTACATAATATGAGTTTTTTCATAGTGGTGATCTCTGTTTCAAACTGATATATTTCTCAAATTTGATCAATGACTTTCGTTTTGTAGCTTGATTCTGAGCATTTTGTCACTGGAGCGGTATCTTGACAGTGCTGCCAGTGACGTCACATCTCCTAAAATATCAGAACAAAAACATGATTCAAAATGGCAGAGCAGAGCGATACGTCGAGCGAAAACATGTGACACTACGACATGTTATGAAAGTGAAGGTTTCTTTGTTATGACCTTCATTATTGATAAAACAAACTCTGAAAATCATTATGATCAGTGGTCCAATGCTTCAGTCCACTTGATTTTTGCAAGATCAATTATGCCTAAAACTTCATATTAAGGTGTCATAGGACAGCATTAGCTTGTCATAGTAACATGTCTGATCTTCATGGGGATTCCTGCTCAGGTGAACTCAGAGTTCTACACTGGCTGGCTGGATCACTGGGGGTCCCCTCACTCCACAACAGACATGAGAACAGTGGCCAAGAGTCTTGACCTGCTCTTGGACTATGGTGCCAATATCAACATGTAAGCTTGCAATAGGTTCTTGCTGGTGCCATATTGGTTGCTGTATTTAGCTTGTCTACAAGTGCTTCAGATTGGCAGGGAACCTGATTGTCATTAACTACTTCTATAGTTAATGTAGCTTTTAGTGAATAGTTTCCAGTTACTGTCAACTATTATGTTTTTTAGTGCTGAAAATATCCTCCAATGTTTTAGTATATGGTAAAATACTATAAAATTACAGTAAACCTGTAGTCTGTAAGCCACATTAATCAGTTCCTATACAGTAAGTAAATACAGCCTTGAAATGAGAGTATTGGACCTAATTATGCCAACAGTATTATTGTTTCTTTAGGTACATGTTTGAAGGAGGCACCAACTTCGCTTACTGGAATGGTGAAGTATATTCCCAGTTCATTATGTGATATATGTCATAGAAACAGGTGTTTTTAATCATTTAAACAGATAACAAAATATGTAAATTCTTTTTAAATCTTATTGACTAGACTTCATACGATACAAAGTTTAACAACTTTGGTTGCTGATTGTGTCTAGAACTAAAACATGGGTATGACATGGCTTTGATAAAACTGATCTGTTTTGATTGCAGGTGCAAATGCCCCTCCGTACCAACCTGTCCCAACCAGCTATGACTATGACTCCCCGCTTAATGAGACCGGTGACATCACAGATAAATATATTGCCATAAGACAGATCATTTCAAAGGTAAATATTCTCCTGTAGATCAGAATATATGCTTAATATATATATTTTGTAAATCCATTATATTTGCTGAAAGTACAACTAAAATACACTGCAATCAGAAAGGTCAATTGTAACACATAATATTGAAATATTATGGATAGATGTACAAAGTGATACTATACATCTGTGTGACACATGCTGTACACACTTAGTGGGGAAGAAGACATATGTGTGACACATACTGTACACACTTAGTGGGAAAGAAGACATCTATGTGACACATACTGTACACACTTAGTGGGGAAGAAGACATCTGTGTGACACATACTGTACACACTTAGTGGGGAAGAAGACATCTGTGTGACACATGATGTACACACTTAGTGGGGAAGAAGACATCTGTGTGACACATGCTGTACACACTAAGTGGGGAAGAAGATATCTGTGTGACACATGCTGTACACACTAAGTGGGGAAGAAGACATCTGTGTGACACATGCTGTACACACTTAGTGGGGAAGAAGACATCTGTGTGACACATGCTGTACACACTTAGTGGGGAAGAAGACATCTGTGTGACACATACTGTACACAGCTATTGGGGAAGAAGACATCTGTGTGACACATACTGTACACACTTAGTGGGGAAGAAGACATCTGTGTGACACATGCTGTACATACTTAGTGGAGAAGAAGACATATGTGTGACACATACTGTACACACTTAGTGGGGAAGAAGACATCTGTGTGACACATACTGTACACACTTAGATGGGAAGAAGACATCTGTGTGACACATACTGTACACACTTAGTGGAGAAGAAGATATCTGTGTGACACATACTGTACACACTTAGATGGGAAGAAGACATCTGTGTAGCACATACTGTACATACTTAGTGGGGAAGAAGATATCTGTGTGACACATGCTGTACACACTAAGTGGGGAAGAAGACATGTGTGACACATACTGTACACACTTAGTGGGGAAGAAGACATCTGTGTGACACATGCTATACACACTTAGTGGGGAAGAAGACATCTGTGTAACACATGCTGTACACACTTAGTGGGGAAGAAGACATCTGTGTGACACATACTGTACACACTTAGATGGGAAGAAGACATCTGTGTGACACATACTGTACACACTTAGTGGAGAAGAAGATATCTGTGTGACACATGCTGTACACACTTAGTGGGGAAGAAGACATCTGTGTGACACATACTGTACACACTTAGATGGGAAGAAGACATCTGTGTGACACATACTGTACACACTTAGTGGAGAAGAAGATATCTGTGTGACACATGCTGTACACACTTAGATGGGAAGAAGACATCTGTGTGACACATACTGTACACACTTAGTGGGGAAGAAGACATCTGTGTGACACATACTGTACACACTTAGTGGGGGAGAAGACATCTGTGTGACACATACTGTACACAGCTATTGGGGAAGAAGACATCTGTGTGACACATACTGTACATACTTAATGGGGAAGAAGATATCTGTGTGACACATGTTGTACACACTTAGTGGGGAAGAAGATATCTGTGTGACACATGCTGTACACACTTAGATGGGAAGAAGACATCTGTGTGACACATACTGTACACACTTAGTGGAGAAGAAGATATCTGTGTGACACATACTGTACACACTTAGTGGGGAAGAAGACATCTGTGTGACACATACTGTACACACTTAGTGGGGAAGAAGACATCTGTGTGACACATACTGTACACACTTAGTGGGGAAGAAGACATCTGTGTGACACATGCTGTACACACTTAGTGGGGAAGAAGACATCTGTGTGACACATGCTGTACACACTAAGTGGGGAAGAAGATATCTGTGTGACACATGCTGTACACACATAGTGGGGAAGAAGATATCTGTGTAACACATACTGTACATACTTAATGGGGAAGAAGATATCTGTGTGACACATGTTGTACACACTTAGTGGGGAAGAAGATATCTGTGTGACACATGCTGTACACACTTAGTGGGGAAGAAGACATCTGTGTAACACATGCTGTACACACTTAGTGGGGAAGAAGACATCTGTGTAACACATGCTGTACACACTTAGTGGGGAAGAAGACATCTGTGTGTCACATACTGTACACACTTAGTGGGGAAGAAGACATCTGTGTGACACATGCTGTACACACTTAGTGGGGAAGAAGACATCTGTGTAACACATGCTGTACATACTTAGTGGAGAAGAAGACATCTGTGTGACACATACTGTACACACTTAGTGGGGAAGAAGACATCTGTGTGACACATACTGTACACACTTAGTGGGGAAGAAGACGTCTGTGTGACACATACTGTACACACTTAGTGGGGAAGAAGACATCTGTGTGACACATACTGTACACACTTAGTGGGGAAGAAGACATCTGTGTGACACATGCTGTATGCACTTAGTGGGGAAGAAGACATCTGTGTGACACATACTGTACACAGCTATTGGGGAAGAAGACATCTGTGTGACACATACTGTACACACTTAGTGGGGAAGAAGACATCTGTGTAACACATGCTGTGCACACTTAGTGGGGAAGAAGATATCTGTGTGTCACATACTGTACACACTTAGTGGGGAAGAAGACATCTGTGTGACACATGCTGTATACACTTAGTGGGGAAGAAGACATCTGTGTAACACATGCTGTACATACTTAGTGGAGAAGAAGACATCTGTGTGACACATACTGTACACACTTAGTGGGGAAGAAGACATCTGTGTGACACATACTGTACACACTTAGTGGGGAAGAAGACATCTGTGTGACACATGCTGTACACACTTAGTGGGGAAGAAGACATCTGTGTGACACATGCTGTACACACTTAGTGGGGGAGAAGACATCTGTGTGACACATGCTGTACACACTTAGCGGGGAAGAAGACATCTGTGTGACACATGCTGTACACACTTAGTGGGGAAAAAGACATCTGTCGGGATTTAGCTGAGTTTTTTTGAGGATGCAAAATAGTTTAATCGACATTGTTCTGACATTTGATTTGTTGGAATTAGGGTCAAGGTCATAATATGAACTATTCATAAAAATGCTTATGTTTGTAATGTTTGTAAATATTGAGGATGCCTCTGTATATGACACATGCTTTTGTTCCAGTACAACCCTCTACCAGCTGAGCCGATCCCCCCAAATACTCCCAAGTGTCCTTATGGTACTGTGCAGATGGACTTTGTAAGTTGAGTTTGACAAAAAACAAATATTGTGTTGACGTGTGTTTAATATCATAATCATCATGTTTGGGGATATATTAAAGCTTTATGATATCATCAAGGAGTTGTTTTTTCTGGAATCCTCCAGTAAGCATTCTTGGGCAGAGAAGTTGCCCAATGTTTATCATTATTATGATAATAGTCCAGTTGTATGGCCTGGGTACTGGAGTGGACACCCTGTGGAGATTCAGGAGTAGAATAAGTTTCTGGTGTCTTATGTGTCTTGTGCTAAGAGCTAACTAATGTGGTTCTAATGTGACTGTGTGGCCCAGTATGTCAGCAACAGGGAACGCTGCTCCTTGGTCGGATCACAGGATGGAATATTATCAAGGTCCCATGAACATGATGATATTGCTGCAGTATGGTGCAATATTCATTCACATAACCGGATGGTCACAATGGCTGTAGTCATCTTGTCTACTGGAATGTACAGTGTGCTCACATCTTTGTGGTATAAACCACACCATCAACCACTGGTGTCGCTTCTCGCTGCCCAGGCCCACATTACCAAGACATAGCTGTAATTTTGTGGGGTTAATTATTTATTTCATTGTGTGCTCTTCCATTTAACTGAACAATTCCAGGTTTTCTTGTGAAACTAGCCCTTCACTTACTTGACGGCCAGTGACAGTTTTGTGTGTTTTTCTCCAGATGACCACTATTCAAGGTTCTCTTGAAACCACAAGTCCTGGTGGACCAGTCAAATCTCGTTTCCCTCTCACCATGGAACAGATTAAGTTTGTGAGTAAACATTTGGTTGGTGTTCATGTTCTGCATAATAATTGTATTGAACCTCAAGTCCAGGTATCTGTTAAACAATAGTTTATATTTATTTGATTTAGATTGTGTAGGAATTATTCCACTGAGACAATTAGTACATAAATATAATGTGTTCGAGAAAATTTGGAAATTTTAGTTCCAAGTTTTGTTCCAAAATGTTATTCCTTAGCAAATCACATAAAAAAATGAACAAAATGTTCAAATTGTTGGTACACAATTATAAAATGTCTCTAAGAATACTCCACAAAACTAACACATCTTTCCTGTTTTTGAATTAATACATCCCTCTGTAAATGTAAGAGACTTGTAACATGTTCCTAAATACTGATTTCCCCATCATCTATGTCCACTAAGTTTATTGCTGTTTCTGTTTCCAGTATTATGGCTTCATCCTATACCGCCATGTCTTGAAGAGCAGCTGGACGCTCCCAACAGCACTAGTGACTAACGGAACACGAGATCGAGGCTACGTCATGGTCAACGAGGTTGGTGAGAAGGTCATGTTAAAACTGCATGTTGTAGCTGTCTGTATGGCCTGTGAACACCAATACTTTTTACAGGAATAAGTCCCAACTAAACTGTGAATGTATGGCCTTGCTGATTTAGTGTCTTTATGCGTGCTGTAACAACATACTTCATGAAGCACTGGGTGGTCACATTGCATGATCCCACAGCCTGGGGTACTGGGAACTTTCTGCCCCTGAACCACCATGTAGTAAAGCACCTTGGGAGACTTAGCTGTGACCTGGTTGAGTGTTTGCTACCATACACTCATTTTGTGGATGATTGCTCACATTGTTGACCACTCTTTTATGTGGTCCTGACTCAATTATTTGCTGTAGTTGGATGTGGCAATGATATTAGTGACAACAGGTTACGAAATTCGTAACCTGTCGTCACTAATATCATTGCCAAATACAAACCATTCATTCACTCATTGAGCACTGAAGATTTTTAAACATTGATTAAGGACAAGAATGAAAGGTCATCATACAACCATTTCTTTGATGGCTGAATCTCCAGGTACCAATGGGCATCCTTAACCGGGACCTGGTGTGGCAGGTGAACATCACCGGGGAGGCTGGCCAGTACCTGGACATTCTAGTAGAAAATCAGGCCCGGATAGGATTCTCTACTTTGATGAACTACAATCAGAAGGTAGGTGGGACAAGCTGACGTCCAAACAGGTAGACCATTGCTCATGCACAACCTGATGTTTTAGGGAAAAGCCACTTGGTGTTTTAGGGAATGGCCACTTGGTGTTTTAGGGAATGGCCACTTGGTGTTTTAGGAAATAGCCACTTGGTGTTGTAGGGAATGTGTTGGGACAATGACACTTGATGTGTTGGGACTATGACACTAAATGTATTGGGACTATGACACTTAATGTATTGGGACTATGACACTTAATGTATTGGGACTATGACACTTAATGTGTTGGGACTATGACACTTAATGTATTGGGACTATGACACTTGATGTATTGGTACTATGACACTTAATGTATTGGGACTATGACACTTAATGTGTTGGGACTATGACACTTAATGTATTGGGACTATGACACTTGATGTATTGGTACTATGACACTTGATGTGTTGGGACTATGCCGCTTGATGTATTGGGACTATGACACTTGATGTATTGGGACTATGACACTTAATGTATTGGGACTATGACACTAAATGTATTGGGACTATGACACTTGATGTATTGGGACTATGACACTTAATGTATTGGGACTATGACACTTAATGTGTTGGGACTATGACACTTAATGTATTGGGACTATGACACTTGATGTATTGGTACTATGACACTTGATGTGTTGGGACTATGCCGCTTGATGTATTGGGACTATGACACTTGATGTGTTGGGACTATGACACTTAATGTATTGGGACTATGACACTAAATGTATTGGGACTATGACACTTGATGTGTTGGGACTATGACACATAAAGTATTGGTACTATGACACTTGATGTGTTGGGACTATGCCACTTGATGTATTGGGAGTATGACACTAAATGTATTGGGACTATGACACTTGATGTGTTGGGACTATGACACTTAATGCATTGGGACTATGATACTTAATGTGTTGGGACTATGACACTTAATGTATTGGGACTATGACACTTAATGTGTTGGGACTATGACACTTAATGTATTGGGACTATGACACTTGATGTATTGGTACTATGACACTTGATGTGTTGGGACTATGCCGCTTGATGTATTGGGACTATGACACTTAATGTGTTGGGACTATGACACTTAATGTATTGGGACTATGACACTAAATGTATTGGGACTATGACACTTGATGTGTTGGGACTATGACACATAAAGTATTGGTACTATGACACTTGATGTGTTGGGACTATGCCACTTGATGTATTGGGAGTATGACACTAAATGTATTGGGACTATGACACTTGATGTGTTGGGACTATGACACTTAATGCATTGGGACTATGATACTTAATGTATTGGGACTATGACACTTAATGTGTTGGGACTATGACACTTAATGTGTTGGGACTGTGACACTTGATGTATTGTCACTATGCCACTTGATGTATCCGGACTATGTCACCTAATGTGTTGGGACTATGACACTTAATGTGTTGGGACTATGACACTTAATGAGTTGGGACTATGACACTTAATGTGTTGGGACTATGACACTTAATGTGTTGGGACTATGACACTTAATGTATTGGGACTATGACACTTAATGTGTTGGGACTATGACACTAAATGTGTTGGGACTATGACACTTTATGTGCTGGGACTATGACACTTAATGTATTGGGACTGTGACACTTGATGTATTGTCACTATGACACTTGATGTATTGGGACTATGTCACCTAATGTGTTGGGACTATGACACTTAATGTGTTGGGACTATGATACTTAATGTGTTGGGACTATGACACTTAATGTGTTGGGACTATGACACTTAATGTGTTGGGACTATGACACTTAATGTGTTGGGACTATGACACTTAATGTGTTGGGACTATGACACTTGATGTATTGGGACTATGACACTTAATGTATTGGGACTATGACACTTTATGTGTTGGGACTATGACACTTAATGTTTTGGGACTATGACACTTAATGTGTTGGGACTATGACACTTAATGTGTTGGGACTATGACACTTTATGTGTTGGGACTATGACACTTGATGTGCTGGGACTATGACACTTATGTATTGGGACTATGACACTTAATGTGTTGGGACTATGACACTTTATGTGCTGGGACTATGACACTTAATGTGTTGGGACTATGTCACTTAATGTTTTGGGACTATGACACTTAATGTGTTGGGACTATGACACTTAATGTATTGGGACTATGACACTTGATGTGTTGGGACTACGACACTTAATGTGTTGGGACTATGACACTTAATGTGTTGGGACTATGACACTTGATGTGTTGGGACTATGACACTTAATGTGTTGGGACTATGACACTTAATGTGTTGGGACTATGATACTTAATGTGTTGGGACTATGACACTTAATGTGTTGGGACTATGACACTTTATGTGCTGGGACTATGATACTTAATGTATTGGGACTGTGACACTTGATGTATTGTCACTATGACACTTGATGTATTGGGACTATGTCACCTAATGTGTTGGGACTATGACACTTAATGTGTTGGGACTATGACACTTAATGTGTTGGGACTATGATACTTAATGTATTGGGACTGTGACACTTGATGTATTGTCACTATGACACTTAATGTATTGGGACTATGACACTTGATGTGTTGGGACTATGACACTTAATGTATTGGGACTATGACCCTTAATGTGTTGGGACTATGACACTTAATGTGTTGGGACTATGACACTTAATGTGTTGGGATTATGATACTTAATGTGTTGGGACTATGACACTTGATGTATTGGGACTATGACACTTAATGTATTGGGACTATGACACTTAATGTGTTGGGATTATGATACTTAATGTGTTGGGACTATGACACTTAATGTGTTGGGACTATGACACTTAATGTGTTGGGACTATGACACTTAATGTGTTGGGACTATGACACTTAATGTGTTGGGACTATGACACTTAATGTGTTGGGATTATGATACTTAATGTGTTGGGACTATGACACTTGATGTATTGGGACTATGACACTTAATGTATTGGGACTATGACACTTAATGTGTTGGGATTATGATACTTAATGTGTTGGGACTATGACACTTAATGTGTTGGGACTATGACACTTAATGTGTTGGGACTATGACACTTAATGTGTTGGGATTATGATACTTAATGTGTTGGGACTATGACACTTGATGTATTGGGACTATGACACTTAATGTATTGGGACTATGACACTTAATGTGTTGGGATTATGATACTTAATGTGTTGGGACTATGACACTTAATGTGTTGGGACTATGACACTTAATGTATTGGGACTATGACACTTGATGTATTGGTACTATGACACTTGATGTGTTGGGACTATGACACTTAATGTGTTGGGACTATGACACTTAATGTGTTGGGACTATGACACTTAATGTATTGGGACTATGACACTTAATGTGTTGGGATTATGATACTTAATGTGTTGGGACTATGACACTTAATGTGTTGGGACTATGACACTTGATGTGTTGGGACTATGACACTTAATGTGTTGGGACTATGACACTTAATGTGTTGGGACTATGACACCTAATGTGTTGGGACTATGACACTTAATGTGTTGGGACTATGACACTTAATGTGTTGGGACTATGATACTTAATGTATTGGGACTGTGACACTTGATGTATTGTCACTATGACACTTGATGTATTGGGACTATGTCACCTAATGTATTGGGACTATGACACTTAATGTGTTGGGACTATGATACTTAATGTATTGGGACTATGACACTTAATGTGTTGGGACTATGACACTTGATGTATTGGGACTATGTCACCTAATGTATTGGGACTATGACACTTAATGTGTTGGGACTATGACACTTAATGTGTTGGGACTATGATACTTAATGTATTGGGACTATGACACTTAATGTGTTGGGACTATGACACTTGATGTGTTGGGACTATGACACTTAATGTGTTGGGACTATGACACTTAATGTATCGGAACTATGACGTTTGATGTTATGACCTTTTTCATTCCCTCCATCTTTTGTTTTTGTAAGGATTTTCAAAATTCTGGTTCAGCCTGTTTTGTGTTGATTGTTTCAGAATTGTCGATTAAATATGTTTGAACCACTTGCAGGGCCTGACATCCAATATAACCTTGAATGGAAATGTTCTGGAGGACTGGGAGATTTACCCAATAACCCTGGAGAATATCCGTTCACCTTCCAACTTTACCAGACAGTTCAGGTGAGTGTCATACCATGGGGATGGAGGATGCATTGTCTGCAAAGCTCAATGGAAACCATGGCATATGCTGTTAGTATTCCAGGCCTCAAAGTTTAATTTTTTACCAAGTAGCCATAAGGCTTCAAGTATATTTTTCCAGGTAGCCAGTGGTACATTCAAGTCAAGTCAAACTAATATTGTAGGTAGCCAAAATCTTTGAAATTATCTTTATCAAATAACTATTATAATATGTATAAAGCACTAGTCTTGGAATTGTATATATTAATGAAAACTGTACTTGATTTTGATACTTGTGCCTCGAACAATAATGCAATATATGTTACTAGATCTTATAGGCATATCCTTGTAGCGTTAGAAACTACAATGATAACATATAGCAATACCCTTAAAAAGGGCAAATTTCTACTAGTCCTTATGATACCTTAACTATTGAGCAGTTAGGCAAGGACTACAGGACTAGTGTCAATTTCTAATGCTGCCTTGCTTTTCCAATGAGTATTGTCAACTAAATTAAAGTACTAATTGCATTAATATTTATGTATTTCAGTTCATTGTCGACTTTAGGAGGAAATATTTGCAAGTACAATTATTAGCAGACGTCTTTTCAAAGGTCAGCTGTCATATATTATTGTGTCTACAGAAGTGTAGCAATAGAAATTAGTCACCACAAGATATTTTTCAAGGTAGTCATTTGGCTACCTCCGAATTTTAGACAGTAGACAAACTGAAATTAAGGTCGCAACTTTGTGGCCTGTATTCCATGTACTCTGTATCAGTCAGGTCTCAGGTAACATTTCCCATTTCCCATGGGGAAACATTCATTGCAGCCAAGGTTCAGCTCCAGAGATGTCAGCTCCTGGAACACATGTCCTGTCTAGTTGTGGAGTAGTATAGGTAATGATGGTTCTGGCTCACTTCCACTGGAGCAGGATTTATATACCTATACCATCACTACAGATGGAATTTTTTATGCCAAAATGATTATGCGATTCAATGATAGTCATGAGATTGGCTCTAGCTCACCAATACCTGGGGCCAATCATTGCTTTAGATGAGTCTAAATGGTAATAAAAATATTCTTTATTATTTTTATCGATAAAGCGATATTCAACATTTTTATTAAGTTCTTCGTTCATTTTACTAGGAGACCAGACTATATAACTACACTCTTCTTGTAAATTGATAAGAAACAATTGATAACCATATTTGGTTGGTTTGACATCACTGATATAATAAAAACCTTGTGGTAATTCTCTCCATTGAATAGCTTTCTCCATTATTATATATTTATGTAAGCATTTGTCTAAATGTAATCACACGATAGTAAACAATCTATTTTTAATCTCCAACCAGTTCTTTGGTTTTGGCACGGAATAATTGACGCGCTTGTTGCCTCCCCTGTTCTATGAACTTTTTTTTCTAGTCTTCGCTTATACCACTGGTCTTACGAGATTTTGATCGAATCTCCTGCTTCATTTCGTTGTATTTGGTGAGTTCCGACAGCACTAAACGAAACTCATCCTCGGATATCTTACAATAAGCCATTGCTGTCGAAATATGATCCTCAATGCTGTTCAACTTTGCTTCGGCGAGTATCCGAATACTATCGTGTTTTAATGCTTTCTTTTGTAACCTACGAGAAATGAATTTTATCGCTATTCCTGCCAGTCCCGAGACTCCAGCGGTTATTTCCATGCCGAGCACGATAGGCGCGGCGATTATAGTTGATAGTAAACCGATACCCGCTACACCGAGTCCCATGCCGGATACTAAAAGCACGGTGTCAACTCCGTCCAGAGCATTCACAGCTCTGCGATACTTTTTATACAATCCAAGTCTCAACTCCCTCTCCTTCCCTATTCGATGTTTTATGTCACTTATTTGATGTAATCGAAATCCATCAACAGTATCCATCTTTTCAAATGCTTCACCGAGCGTTGGATATAAACTCATAGTGTATATTACGTTCATATAATAGTCTTTAATTGGTCTTGCTTAAATGTTTTGAGACTATACATCAACCTTATCAAATGTATATTATACGGCAAGAATATCTTAGAAAGAGAAATACTGTCACTTTTAATAATTTGGACCCCCTCGAGGGTTGCAACGGGCGATGCTCCGATATGAATAATACTGCAACGTTGACGCTCGTGTTTCTTGAGCCATTTGATCGATAGACCTGGTAATATATCGAAGGCATCTTCCGGTGCATCTCCGAACAAGACTTCAATAATAAGCGTAGAAAGATTAGGTATTGCACTCAGGTTAACTTTAATATCTTCGAATTCAGTAACCAAATTTAAAGTAACATTTTTTAAGGCCGGACGACTATATAACATATGACCTGGGTTTTCTGACAGGGGGGTAACTAACACACTTTTTCGTTTTGACGGGATATAAGCCGCGAGTACGATGCCACTATTTATTATCTTAGTTAAATTATGTCCCTTACCCATCATCACATAAGGTGGGGTAATGACGATATTCAGTAGCCACTCGATGTTTGCTTCGACCATAGTCCATTTATTATCATCGTTGCGAGTAATATTGTACGAAGTGTTTTTAAGGAGTCTACTAACATCAACATCGCTTAAATCTCCTAAATTACCCGTGAATGTAACTTCTTTCCGATTGTATACATTATCGTGTAAGTGTAAAGCGTATAACTTACCATCGGTACCGGGTTTACCAAATCCTTCTGTGTCTCCGAGATCGGAAAGCGCAATTGTATTACATTGTCTTACTGTTCCAGGGCCTGATGCATCAACCATTATTTTTAATATGGAGTGTTACACTTAAGTATCCTATATGTACAGGTTGGTGTTTTACATCTAATATAGAAATTTTGAGGTCTGAAATAATACCACGCTTCAATTTTTTATATTGTAATGACAAGAAAGATTCCGTTCTACCGCTATTATATTTTTCATTTTTCACTGGAATAGATCTGAGTAGAGTTGAAGGACTTTCTAGTTGAATATTATCCGTCGTGCTTATTTGATCAAGATGGATGAACAACTCTTTATAGGGAACTAAATCGGGTAATTTAATATAAGGATGTGCACCATCTAAGCGACTAAATTCCTCTCTACCTGGTTGGCCCAATACAATTATATTATCTGCATGGTTGTATTTCACTGTCCCAGTCGCCTCATTTTGTGAGAGACTAATTCCATTAGGATTTAAAATTTCATCATTGAGTGAGCTTACGCTGTAATACCCATCAGGTATAGTAATGGATTTGCTAGTACCAAGTATGGATAATATATTTATCCTATTATTATTTTTTGCAGCATTTATATTGGTCCACCTCGGGTAATACGTTACATCGCATAGGGCTACTTCGAGTTGTCCATCCGAGTTATCGATAGTACGAAGCAGTTGAATAGACTGACCATTTGTTATTCCCAGGAGTGTAACATACATATCAAATATACAATGATACTATATCATAACTTAAATATGGAATCAACCATTATTTTTAATATGGAGTGTTACACTTAAGTATCCTATATGTACAGGTTGATGTTTTACATCTAATACAGAAATTTTGAGGTCTGAAATAATACCACGCTTCAATTTTTTATATTGTAATGTTGAGAAAGATTCCGTTCTACCACTATTGTATTTTTCATCTTTAACTGGAACACGTCTGAGTAGAGTTGAAGGACTTTCTTGTTGAATATTATCCGTCGTACTGATCTGATCAAGATGGATGCACAACTCTTTATAGGGAACTAAATCGGGTAATGCATCTCCATCAGATGTTGTCCTGTATATTGATAATATAAAGTTTCTTGATCTTTCTACCTGTGTAAATCCAAGTGTAATTGCTAAGTTCTCATGAATCCATATACCTTTTTCTCCAGTGCCGATTTTCACTATCCCATTCGACTCATTTTGTGTGATACTAATTCCATTAGGCTTAAAAATGTTATCATTGAGTGAGCATATACTGTAATACCCATCAGGTATATTAATGTTTTTTTCAATAATATTTTGTTTATCTGTTACAGACAACTCATTATTATCTCTCACAGCACTTATATTGGTCCACCGCGGGTAATACGTTACATCACATAGGGCTACTTCGAGTTGACCATCCGAGTTATCAATTGTATGAAGCAGTTCAATAGACTGACCATTTGTTATTCCCAGGAGTGTAACATACATATTAAATATACAATGATACTATATCATAACTTAAATATGAAATCGACTCACATTACTAATCAATCGATTATAGTAACTGCCTCCGGTGCTGAGTTTACCGTTAAATTCCACGATATCTTTGAAAAATACAGTTTCACGGCAACTAACGATAAAATGATTGACGATTGGTTTAACCGTCCGATGCAATTTTGGCAGAATCAGTTAAACTTTGCCGTATGGTGTGCCACAACGGGATGTGGCGTATCTGTTAATGCCCCAGGATTTAAACTATATAAGTCTGTTATATTATTTCACGTGTACTATCAGATTAGACGTATACTTAAAGAAATTAGTGCTCCATTACCGATGGATCCAGCATGGAATCACGTAAATAATCATTATAATAAGAGGGCCTTCGAACGTATTTGTAATGAATTTAATGTTTCTACGAGTAAAGATTGGCGCATTAAAGGACCTAGCCATGGTCTAGGTGTTCCGTACAATGGACAAAGAACTATTAAAGATAAAAGCGATTATTTAATTAAAGCGGGTGTGATCCCTTCAGGCTTTGCTCTCTCGAGTAAACAGTTTAGAGCAGATTGTATGAACTTTGAGAGTGGCATTCCTTATATTATAACAAAGTTTGTGCATCCAAACGATACAACAGATGCTTGGAATGAATTTCTTAATGATAAAACGGAAAATAATTTTACTAACCCAGGATTTGAAAGAGTTAATGAATCGATAAGAACTTATGTATGGGCAATTCTCGGAACGCAATCGCAAACACGAACATCCATTATCGGTACTGGGACGGCGTTCGATGCGCAAAAACAATTTGTCTC